GCGTAGGCTGCCGTCCTCTAAGACATGAAGACAACTGGAATAACATGAGATACAAAACAATTGTGCTCCTGTTAAAAGCCTTTTCTTTAGACATACAAGAAAACCTCTTTCCCAAGAAAGATAAGTGTCCACATTTCAGTCTACACCCGCATAGATGCCACCTTACACCCTGAGTCACCTTCAACCTTCTCCTCGTGTCAGATTATGGCTGCTGACAGATACTTCTGGCAAAGAGATACCGTAGGAGCAGGGATTTCCCCATAACTGGAGAGCAGATGGAGCACAGAGAAGCACTGGCTGGCCTGACCAGGGCGTAACTTGACTCAATATCAGTCATCCGGTCTGAAAAAGATCTGTGCTGATCGGTACGGCAGGGGATTCAAATCAATATCACAATATAAACTACAGTTCAAAAGTTATTATTATTATATACATTTGAAATAGATTTGAGAATAATTTCATGATTTAAACCTCTATTTAGCTAATGTCTGCACTGTGTCGCACAGCGGGGGAGAATACTGTTGTAATCATTTTTTCCCCCAAATAAATACCCTTTGATTTTTAATTTGTTTTCCAGTGCAGAAAAGCGTCAGTGACCCGAGCAATAGGACTCTAATGGCGCATTTCCATTGCAGCGCGTAGCTCGCTTTAAGCGTGCCGTGTCGTGCCGTCCCCTTTTTTGGTTGTGCTTCCACTAGGCCTCGTTCCGGCGCGGCACGGCGCGGGGCCACTTTTTCCCCTCTTTTCTGGCCCTAGAAAATTGTGGTTCTATCGGGGCCAACAAACAGGGCTGAGTCGGGCTGAGTATGCTAAACTAGAGAGAGGAGCGCTGGCAAGAGGGCTAGAACTACAACAAGATGGACATATTTGACCGTGATTTAATTGTAATACACGTTTCAAAATGATGCCGAAGTAACAACATACTGATACCGGTTAGTAAAAACCATGAATTAATGCTTTGTCAAGTCTGCAGACAGACGGCAGGCGAAAAACCTTTTAAAATTCGTGTTTTTCTAGATGGAGATTGGCTAAGCTAACGCAGTATATGCCCCGACCGTCCACACTCACAACAACGGCCTATACAGACATAAATAAAGCAGCGACTGTATTCACCATGACACAGACAGTCTGTGGTTTGTACTTGTTTAACTTTTGTCTAGTTTCTGAACATATATAAGGAGCTGTGAGCTCTGAGTGCTAATAGCTAACGGCTGTGTTGTGTTTCTGGATTTCTCATTGAAGATGACGTCACGGCTCCGCCTACACTGCGTTACTATAGTAACTACCCCAGTTCCTAAACTGTAATGGAAGCGCAGCATGAAGTGAGTCGGCCCTGTTAAGGCCCAACGCGGCCAAGCCGTACCGAGCCGTACCGAGTGTGGCCGAGGCCGACCGTGTACTGGAAATGCGCCATAAATAGTCTGTGTAGCCGTTTTTCTTTGGGCTCTCTGCAGTCTGTGCAGTGGTTAGACCGTAAGTGTGACTCCACAGTATGTTTAGCTGATATTTCCAGATCCATTTCCAATAGTGCCAGCTGACCTTTTATTTCTGTAGAAGTTTGATAATAGCATTGCTAAAGCATTTCAATCGGAACACATTTTCACGCTAAGCTTAATGTTTATTTTTACAATGACTTGTGATTGTTCAGTTTAATAGAGTTATATGTATCGCTTTTAATAGAGTTTGATTTAACCATCATACATTGCTTGTTCTAAATGTACAAAAGATTAATTTATTTGCAAACAAAATATCATCTATTTGCAAAGAGTATGGCTGTCCTTGACTTAAAAAATGATTTGTTGACTAACACTCATATGATTTTGTTGATTTATCTATTAGTATATTTAATAGACAGGTCTGTAAAACTGAGTAACCCAACAAAGAATCATGTCAAAGCAACACTTTAGATCTTGTGTTTACCAGGGATGTGCTCATAAGTTACTGTCATTCAGCATGAGAAAGCATTAGAAAAAACAACTAATTGACTAAATAAATCTGTAACCTATGAGTAGCGAAGCAGATCAGCTTGATTGAGTCAATCCATTGATTAACAATGACCACTCGACTATAGTCTAATTATAATTGACAGCAGTCTATGCGCTTCCCAGAGAGGGCACAGCAGCAGGAGAAGTCGGCATGTACAGTACAGTTTCTGTGCTGCTCCAGCAGAGAGGAGTGGCTCTGACTGAGCATGACCTAACAGGCTGGCTGGACGACATTCCTACAAGCCCTGGGGTTTGCCTTCCTCCCAAACAGCTACGTAAGACACAGCTTCAACTGTCTTCCATTCAATGTCTACGCAACCAAGGAAGAAAATCCTGTGAGGAGGCGATTCACTTGGTTGTGGAGCCGCTCTATGTATGTTCTTAATGGTGTTTGATCTAAAACCATGTAAGATAACATGTATTTTTGATTCTGTGATTAAAACATTAGTGTGCAGACATGACGATGAGCACTAAGAGCAGCATGTTGCAGAGGGAAGTGGACCAAAAGGAACATACGGTACAGTAAATGCTGCATGGCATCTTCCATCAAGGCTCTTTGCCCATTAGAACTTTTCATTATTCATACATGTCTATTTATGTTCATCTAAAAAAAGAATATATGTATTTTCTTCCACACTGTGTGGTCTTTTTACTGAAGGTTAATCCAATACCTTCTATGGGTAAAAGTACTGTATATGTTTGCAATATGTACATATCCCTCAAGGACACAGCAAGGTTACATCCACTGTGGATTTGAACAGCTCTGGCACAGAAACATATTTATATGAGAAACAACAGTAATGGTCACAGCTGACAACATAGAGAATTCATTATTGAAACCTCTTATACAGATTGGTACTGTGCTACAGTGATTTGGAGTACAATTGTGAGTAAGCCAGACGTTTGAATGCAGGTCCAATTATGTTCAAAACCTCAAGCAGCCTTATACTCTGGGTTAGTTGCAATAAAAACAAGAACTCAAATTCAGAGCACACTATTTTGCCGCCACAAACAAACCACCCAATGAGCCATTTAGCAACCTCACTGTGCTTTGCCGCAGTTGCTGCTGCTCCACTGATAAGCTTGCTTCATGGCAGCAGACAGGAAGCTTATTTCAAGAGCCAGATGAGTCAAAACCCTACTACACTGAGCAGGGCATATGTCACCAATCTAAAAACAATGCAGTGTCTCCCTCTGGTCTCTTTGTTAGGTGAGGTCATTGTGTCCATGTAGCTGCCTGATGCTGGTCACAGAATGCATGAGTTGTCTCTTTTCTGTGATCCAACAACTATGGCCACATAAGTAGGTCAAATGAAGGGAAGAAAAAAAGCATCTTCATCCAAACTTTTGGAAGGGAGATTAAGTTAGATAGTAATAAGCCACAACAATTCAACTCAATTGCTGGATAACCAAATGAGGCACATGGTGACCAACATCATTTTCCTTATTGTAGAGACGATGATGACAGTTTCTAAAGGCCAGTATGGCAACTTTATAGACAATATTCCTGTCAGCCCATTCACCTGCAAAGATATGGCGAGATGTCTGGTGCAGTATTTGGTACTGCCAAATAATGCAATTAAAAATTGGAAAAGTCTACTATAGCTGGAAAACAAAACAAAGATTTCACAGTGGATTTGGGTATTTGCAAGACATTATCTTCTAGTTTAACCAAACATCAACTCAAAATGCCACCTACTTATTAATAGCTGCATAACTGAGTTGTGTGACCATCAAGTAAGAGTGAAATATACTTTTGAATAGTGCACCAATTTATAATAGCAATATATAACACTTTGGCCTTTAATCAAAAGACAGGGAGTTGTATTTAATTTCTCTTCAGAAGAGCCAGTATCATGGTAGGTAGCTTTTGATAAGATACATAAACAAGGCAAACTAAGTCCATGGTCTTACGTTGTAAGCTGTCCGTCTGTACTGACAGCTCTTAAGTGATCAAAACACTTAACAAACCTACTATCAATCCCTCCACATTTGTTTTTGTTGGTTTAGATGTAAAATGCAATACAAATCAAGGCGGGGTGCTTTACGATTAGCTATAAGTAGGCAGGTAGCAGTTGCTTGTTTCTATGCAACGTCTTAGCATTACACATTCACTACTTTGCAAGTAAATGTAGCTCTCAGTCGGTCATTTATTTAAAACTATGCACCTATAACGCTACTCTAATCGCCTGTCCTACAATTAGTTAAAGAAGCGAGCAAGTTTAGTAGCTTAAGTCATAGTAAAGAGGTCGCAAACAGTCGTCGTGCAGTCGGGTCGGGGGGGCGCTGCAGCTTCTTTAGCTCCTGAGCTAAAGCTAACAAGCTAGCCTAGTAACCATTACAATCAAACACAGAAACTCTACGCGAGTTACTAGAAGGTAGCAGCGCTGTTCCCCGACAATGCCACTAATATATAACCGTGTATACATAAGATGTAGTGGTTTTTACCTGTAATTCGGCGCGCTCCACCTCCCATTGTGCTCTCTCTACTTCGAAACGGGCCCATTCGTGCTGCAGGAAGTGCAGGATCCCCGGGATACTGTACTGCGCCCTGGCCGCCTCCCCAGCGTCGCCATCAGGCAGCGGTCCTTTCCCACCGCCGCCTAAAACAGAGTTGTTATTGTTGTTGAAGAACACGCCGGGCCCCGCCTGTTCGTCCATGGCCGGGCTCGGTGTAAAGGTCTGTCCGTTGTCTCGCTTGTTCGTGGTGCTTGATATCAACGGAAGGGCAAAAACCTAACGACTGCGCTCGGTCTCCTCGGCTCGAGGGAATGAACTCACTTTCTGACAGCTAGCTGTCATTGAATGACGTCAGCAACGACGGCCACGCCCACAGCATGTTGGATGGGAGCGCTCGTTTCACTTACCGAGACTCCCAGATTAATTTAACCAATTTTTATCAAAAAGGTAATATGATTCATTGACATTCTGTGACAAATCCTGCAGCGGAATTAATTCAAAAACTGCGTTAAACTATTGGCTAAAATGTGAATGCATGTACAGGCATCATCACAGTGAGGTCAAAGCAACTTTAATCACATTTAAAATAAATACATTTGGAATGTAACATAGGACAATTTCAACTAATCTGCCAAATTATAATGGTAACAGATGCTCGACCATTTAGGTAGCTATTAGCCTACTTATTGACAGAAATTGATCAAAGTTATAAGCAATACAACAGTCTTGATGATATGCAGCACATATTAAAGTATGTAGTACTAACTCCCCCCATTAAATCAGCAGACCGATTAAGTGTCTCTAAGAATTACAATTTCTGCCCAAAAACTATTCAAAAGTGTGATGCATTTAATATTCAAAGGGCTCTCATAAAATCTGATTCAAATCTCAATGATATGCAGTAAATTCTCAGCTTTGTTTAAAAACCATGTAGCAGTAATGTTCACAACATAATTTAAGAAACAAAAACAAAAATAAGAAAACAAACAAACAGCGGACCCTAAGGTCATATTCTAAAACCACCCCAATTAAACATGCATGATTGGAAAAATAAATACTGCCAAGCTTATGGTGATGCAAAATCACAGCAAAAATGACACAGTAAACATTATATTTTGGATAGTGATAACATAATGACCAGACATAAAAGCATTGATCAGGAAAAAAGATGTGGATAAAAAAAGTAAATTGTGTCCCTTCATAAATGTGCAGTAATGATACATTCAGACAATCAACCTTTCCTGCAGATTTTAAAGTGATTTTTTTTTTAAGTCAACATTCAAATGCTTATTAATGATATTTACACACTTTCCTTCATACCTTTAAGAACAGTTCTCAAACATCAAATCCAAATGAGATGATGAATCAATAAATACACTTAGGAAACTGCAGTGTATACTCCGTTGACAGAAAACAAAACAGACCTACAAAAGACAACATCAATTTAGGCTGTGAGAGTGTACAGAGCATTTTAAATGGGGTTCAGAAGAAGTTGGTCTTGAGTTTGATGGTGGGGGCAGCCTGCACTTGGGGCTGAGCTAGCCTGGCTGCAGCTTTGGCTCTGCTGCTGGCCTGGTTGGCCAGTATAGCCGATTCCAAACGGATTTTAAGCTCAGGTGCGGCACCAATTACTGTCTTGAAGGCAGCGGGATAGAGGGGGCCAATCCGCATTAAGTTCTGAAGGGCAAATTCATGCAGGCCTCTGGAAACTTGAGGCGCTGAGGAAATGGCATGTTCATCCAAAAGGTAGGAGATGAGGGTTGGCACAAGAAGAGCCAGCAACTGCACCCCTGTTAAACACATAATTACAATGACACATTAAAAAAGGTAATTGCTAACAGAAAAAACTAACAGTGAAAAACAGAAAAGGGCTGGGAGAGTTTAACTGCACTGTTTACAAATTGAAGTGAGGCGAGAAATCCAATTCAACTCTACTAGGCGTAAACTGACCTATGCATTGGGTGGACTTGACGTATTAATTGGAAACTAAAAATGTTACTTTTTGGAAATTAAATGTTCGTTTGAGTAACTTATCAAGCCAATTTACGAACTCTATGGTCAGTTTCACCAGTGTGACGATCAATGCTGAATATCCTTGTTCGTTTTCCTTACAATACAGCAATGATATTATTTCTCGGACAAAAAAAGCCTTCTGTAGAGGCAACCAGGTTTTATGGGCAACTGCTATAAAAACAAATGAATACATTGATCAATCAAGTAAGTCATCCGTAGATCTGTATCAATCAACCAATCTGTCATGCAATGCATCTGTGGTTGCAGCTCTAAATACGTGATGCACAATCTATATCTCCAATAAAAACAGTTTGAACACAAAACATGGAATAAGCTGCAACACACCATAGCTAAATATAACACATAAAGGAAATCAATCATCTCTTTGTAGATTTCCATGCAGTGCAGTGCAGTTTGCTTTAATATGGAAAAGAGAAAATAGAGATATCATTGGGGAAACAAAAACAAAAATAATATAAAATCTACAGTATAGCATAATGTGGAAATCACTAGACAAATTGACAGCAAACCAGTGCAGGGATTCTAAATTCAGCATCGAATGTTCTATACGTCTCCTCTTTGATAACACACATCAAAAGACACTGAGCTAAGACCTTCTTTAATGCAGCTGAACACTTTAATGGAACAAACACAGATCTTCAGTGGTCCATTAGGCGGAGGCATACTTACGGTTTTGCTCTTCCCCCATGCCGACGAGATTCTCCAGCACCCTGATGCCCTCCTGCACCGCCTGCAGCTCGGCAGCAGTCCCCGGGCGACTGCGCTCCACCGCCTTCAGCTTTTCCACCATGAGCGGGGCCAGAGCGTGGATGTACGGCGTAGACAGGGCACGGCTAGAGTGCTGAAACACTGACAACAGCAGCTGGTAACACCGTGCCTGAACCTGTGGCAAAAAGAACGATATCCCTCACTTAAACATGGTTAAACACACCAGGGATGCATCTTTTGATCAGGCATTAGATATTATCATATTTGAGCTGGGTTTGTATGGTGCTTACCCAGGGATCACTAGAGTTGAGGGCGTTTCGGAAGCGGTCCATGCAGCCCTTCTGCAGGACGATTACTCCTACAAGTTCATTGCTGGCAGACAGCAGGAAGAGTGTGATCGCTGTTAACATGCTCACCTCATCCATGTCAGGCCTGGACTCCTCTACAGAAATACACAAACAAGCATGAATACTGTACATTTTTTCCTTACACCTTCTTCAGTAAGTTCAAAATCAAACATCTGTGTTTGTTTGTGTGCGTTTGCTTACCTGGCTGTGAGTTCTCTAGGACAGACGCCAGGCCGCTCCTCACCAGGCCGCTCCACTGTGTCTGCATGCCCTCCACCCGGGCCAGAGGGGAGGTGATGATGGTCTTGATGCCCTGCAGGGCCGCTGTCACAGTCACAGGCACAGAGTTATCAGCGGTCTTAAGTGCCGTTTCCCTCAGCACCCCCGTGATTAGGAAGAGCACCGTGGGGAGGATGGTCATGCTCCCTGTAGAGCAAAAAGAAACTGTGAGCATGGGAGATCGTTTGACAGTGAACACCACATTGCTAGACTTAAACGATATGCTTAATGTAAGGCACAAGAAACCATTGCATGAACAGCCTTTATCATCAGCATACATAAACCTGAAAAAGGCAGGCTAAGCAGGCTAATCATTCTAAATAAATCATCCATGTTGGAACAGAGATTTGCCATCACTGTGTGCTGTGTTGTTGTAGTTTGCTTCGGGCCTCACCGGCAGGAGAGCAGAGCGAGGGCAGTTCTGCCAGGATGGAAACTGTGTTTGCTACCAGACGGGCGCTTTCCTCAGGGAGCCGCTGAGGCCTGAGTGGCACGTGGCTGGGTGATTCCTTCACACGTGCATTAAGCTGCGGCAAGTGGCGAACCAGGATGAAGACGAGCAGCTCCATGGCTGCGAACACCAGAGACTTGCCCGGGACGAGCTCCCCCGTGTCTGCTCCTTCCCCGAGGCTGGGCTGAGAGTCTTTCTCGCCTTCTTCCTCTTTGCCTGAGCAAAATCACAGTGACCAAAATAACTCATACAGCCACATCATTGAAACAACTCGACTTTAAAGCTTAATGGACTTAATAAATGGTGAGGCAATACAGCATGTTGAGTATGGCATTTTCCGAATATAACAGTGTAATGTAATGTAAAATGTGTTAGTGTCTAACCCTTGCCAGCCTTCTGTCGCTGCAGATGGTCCTGTGCGGCCCTGATGGTCTCCTGTACGACAGCAGTGACCTGGAGTTGTACTGCAGGAGGATCCCGAGTCAACAGCAGCCTGTGGAGCACGTTCAGGAGCTCCACTGCCAACAGCTACAACAGAAATAACTATTACAGTAGTTTCTCTGTGAAACACTGAGGATGTAAACATTGATATTCTACTCATTGTTCCTGGTTCATTGCCAAAAGGCCCACAAGCTGTTGAGTAGAAAAGGGGCTTTTTATAAAAGTTTTATACAGCAAAGAGACACATGAACCAATATAAGGGGATGTATCACCACACGTCTTATTTCAAAGGCTCTAACCAATGCAACCGAGAATAAACAACCTGCTTTTTTTGTGAATTTATACACAATCTGTGTATCCTTTGAAGCCCTCAGCATCTCAATTATGCATTGCGTGGCAGTCAAATGTTTAGAGGAGCATTGGGGTGATCCTTGTCACCTCATAAAGTCAGTAAATATCACGTGACCCTGTGGTATTCACCAGATATTTACACTAAGGTGATGATCAGGCACTGGTAAATATATCACTGCTGCAAAGTGTAAATAAAAAAGGCCATGGATAAAATACATTGTTGCTTATTTGCTACTTAAAGTTCATCTGCAATCAACAAAGCCAGCCACTGGAACTTGACAGTTTGATTTCTATTGACATAGGATAGTAATGCTGCGTAAAATTCAAATAATCATATACAAATGCTGTTTACCGAAACACATTTCAAGTTTAAATATCTATATATGTATATATTCTTTTTCAAATGTGTATTCACAACAAATTCTAGGAAAGTAGGACAAATCTTCCACCAAATATCTCCCCTTATATAATAAGATAAGTCTTTCTGCACCACGACTTGTGTCTTTACCTGGTCCTCTGCGATATGGATCTTAGCACATGGAGATGCTAGCAGAGTGAACAGGGCGTGCAGGCAGGACATCACATTGTGAATGGGCTCCTCGGGCCGGGGGAAGCAAAGAAACTCTATACTGACACCTGAGAGACAGAACACAGAAATGTACTTAGGGAGTGTTCATGCTATTCTCTTTTTCTATCCAATGCTACTTCTTTCACTGTGGGAGGAAGCAAGGTGTGTCCATGGCTGTAAGGTTAACAAAAGCAGTCGCTATGTAAAACTATTTTTTGAAAAATACATGTAGTGGTAGGGTATTGAGTGTCTGTGAGGAACAAAGCCAAACAGTTTTAAACAACTACATTTGTGGTTACAGTATATGCCTCTTCCAACAATTCAGGTTGCAGTTAACATGCATGTCACTTGATCATTTTATCCTCTTAAAAGTCGGTGTGAAACTGTCACAGTTAAGTTATGGACCTTGACCTTTTTCCACCACATTTTAAACAGTTAATAATTGAGTTCAAGTATATCTTTACTGCCAAGTTTTAAAAGAAATCCCTTAAGGTTTCCCTGAGACATTACGAGACATATCATGAACATTATATAGCACAAATGACTCGGTCTTTTTACCCAACATCAGATGCATCCTGTCTTTGACCGACTCCTCAAAGCTCTTTGTGGTGGAGGAGGCTGCTTGAGAGATGGCCGGAGCCTTGGAGAGAGCTGAGGGGACGTCTTCTTTCTCTTCAGCAGCCCCGAACTCGGTGCTGCTCAGCCAAAGGGCCACGGCATGCAGGACGGGGGCCCACGAACTGCGATAGTGGAGCCTTGCTGTGTCTATAGTCTCTGGTGTGTAAAACGCTCCGCCTGAACACAGACACGCAAAGAAGGGAAAGGACTTGTTTGGAACATATTACTGAAAGGTGATTCTAATTGTGAAAAAATAAAAACATCCATTTATATGCTCCTGAACCATATCTTTCTGTTTACAGTTGACCACCTCAAATGTTCATTATGTTTTACTCATCGGTAAAGAAATGACAAATTCTATCTGAAGAACTAGTCCCTCAACACAGTCATAGCAATGTGGTGGAACATCTTAAACTTTCAACGGCTTTTTGACAATAATAGGTTTGTCGATATGTTTTTCAAAAAGTGTCCAAAACACAATTAAGGTTTTTGGAAAAATCAGAAGAATGAAATCACAATTTGAATGGGACCAGAACTCAAACAAAGAACTTGTGCTATGTGCGTTTAATCGTGCATATGAAGTTATCTGATTAGGATTTATTTAGTGGGTAAGAATTAGTCTTGTACCGTCAGGGGGCAGCTGACTGGAGAACTCCGCAGGCAGGGTGAGCAGAGCGTAGTCTCGCAGCATGGCCAGCCACAGGCGGCTGAGCGACGGCAGCTCGGGCTGCACCAGAGTGATGAGGCTGTCGGGAGGAAGCACGTCTGCACCCATATCATCCTCATCGTCGTCATCCTCTCCACTTTGGACTGGCTTGGCAGGCTTAGACTCTGCATCTTTCTTGATGTTCATCGCCACCACATACACCTGGGAAAGAAGGTTGGTGTGAATTGTCAGTTACAGTATAGACATAACTTGCATATGGGACTGTGTGGTTGGAGTCTTTAGTCTCACCTCAGCCCAAGCCTTAAGCACGGCCAGTTTCTCCATGGTGGTGGCACTCTCACTGTACAGCTGACTGGATGAGCCTTTCCCAGCCTGCACCTTGTCCAGCGATGACACCAGCAGGTTGTGGACCCGTCGCAGGTCATTGAGGTCACTGACCACGCCACTGCCAATCCACGTGCTACACACCTGTAGTCAAATATAGAGAGGTCAATGTAACAAATGTTTATTAGAACGGATGTTTCATTACAAACAGAGTGGGCTAGGTGCATCTCTACATTTCTGAAATAACCAATTAAGCTTTTAAATGTTTATTAAGAAAGCAGAGGGTCTTACCTGGCATGCCTTAGCTGTTATGTCAGACGGAGTATCAGGGGAAAAGGCAGGTCTTAGGGCAGCTCCGACCTAAACGCATACATGAATACATGTTTACAATTTGTTTCCCTTTGCTGTGTTGCTATTTATTTTTGAATTGTATGTATTTCTGACTCACATTGGCCTGGTATTGTTCCAGGATAACATGGCCTGGGAACTCGGGCTCTGGTACAGAGGCAAACTTTTTAATGATGTCCTCCAGGGCCTGCAGGCCGGCCATCCTCAGCTGGTTGCTGTGGTCTGTGGCCGCCATGAAGGCCATGCGGATGAGGTCTGACAAATGGAGCACTAACTGATCTCCTGGATGGAACAACAAGGATCGTGTGAGGAATAGAAACATATTTCAACACCACATTAATCAACCAATCATTATAATTAACAACAGAATGATCTACCCATTCTGTATTGTTTGTTACATATTCAGCTCCAATTCACCATTAAGACGTAGAGCTGAATATAAGCAATGACAGTTTTGAGGTTTATGTTCATTTACATTTTAGCCAGTCATTGTTCCATATGTGCTTTTATGGTCCTTTGATGCTGCTACCCTGTTTCTGTGTAGCTTTATAAACTTCATCCTTTACTGGGAACTTAAGATAACATACAGAAGCACACAACAAATACACTATTAGAAGTTGACACAAAGAATCTGTATATTGAGATAGAAGCTGAGATTTAATTGAGTTAAAAGTGCAACATTCAAGGGATTAATTTTAAACACTGCGACCCACAATAAAAACGCCTTTTTGTAGCTGCTGGTTCCAAAGCAGCTAAAATCACTACACTGTGCCATGACTTAGACAAAAAACAGCACTATTTCGGATAACCTTATAACCAATGGCTGTTTGGTCCCACTTTTGCTTACTTTTCTGTCTTTGTTCCATCTTTACATGAACTATCTTTATTCAGCAGCTTCCTGAAGGTCGCAAAACATATATATAAACTGAACAACCAAACAAACAGCTGAACCATTGGTTAGTAGAAAATATGTTTTACACAGACCAAAGGAGGCATCAATCAATCAAAAAGCCTCAAAGTGATCTGAGCTGTTCTGTTCTGGCAACATGCGGAATACCTTTGGGGTTCTTGGCTTGTGCAGAGCGGGCAGCAGCCAGGTCAAAGTGCGCTTTGTCATTCTCACACAGCAGGATGATGCGACACAGGCAGTCCGCGGCAAATACCCGCGTCACCCAGCGGGGCGCCACAGAGGGCTTGGACTTGTCATCTTCGCCCAGGCCTGTGAACATGCTGTCATCGTCCATCTCGTCCTTTTTCTCGGAGTCCTCCTCATCCTTTTCAACCTCGAAAACAACAGGTGCTCCTACGTCTGCAAGAGGGGACAGACACATTCATGATAAACAGATTTAAAAGAGAGGATTTGGTCTACCAGGTCACTTCAATGACAGATAATAAATGCATTGCTATACTATGCTGGTATCAGGAAACATTTAAACTGCTTTTGGGATGTAGAATAAACCTGACGTGGCTTCTGTGTGAAACTTAATTTGTTCTATATTCCATCTTTATTTTCTTTAAAAGACACAAAGTGGTAATTTGTCATATTTGTTGTTTTAAACTCTACCTTTACCTGTAGTTGCTGCAAGGACATCTTTGCAGAGTTTCAGCCAATGAGAAAGCTTCTCTACAGCGAGAGACGACAGCATGTGGCCCAGTGTATCATGGATATCAGAACACAGCTTCCTGTCCGTCTCCCGATCCAGCATGCCAAACAGAACGCCCTCCAGACCGGTCTCCGTAATGTTCAGATCTAAACCAGGCGCAAAGCAAACACAAATGTAACCTTTTTCAGTGCAGCGCAGTGTGTTTTGCAATGAAGCTCATTGATATAATAAGGGAGAAGTTTTGACCCAGATGTATACTTATTCCCTAATTAAACGTTGGCAATAGTTGAGGAGCACAGATTTGCTCATTTCTTAGGAGCACAGTTAAGAGAGCATCTCAACCTTTTGCCGTATTGAGAATTATACTGTTCCGTTTTGTTTTATTTGTGCAGGCTTAGCAGCCGCAAAAGCTGAACAATCCTCTAACTGCTGGTCAGCTTCCCGATGTGTACTCACGGATTGTATTGTTGTCTCCCCCTCTCTTGGCCAGGCTCATGGCATACTCGCAGACCTCTGCAGCCTCTCTCTGAGCGAGCTGCCTCAGACAGGCCACGGCAGCGCGGCGCAGCAACAGGTGAGGGCTGCACAGGTGCACCTGCAGGGATCCCACAGTACAGTAGGAATTTAAGATCAAGAAATACTAAAACTTCTATCATATAAAAACTCAATATATCTCTTCATGTCTTACACAGAGACAAGGCACCAGGCTGGACAGGTTGACATGGCGTGGAGCAAACATGTGCAGCTGCTGCAAACAGGAGATGGCTGCTGCCTGCACCAGGGAGTCCGAGTGGTCCTGCATTATGGCACAACCAACCAGGCAGGACGAGCGGATGGTGGAGATAGTGGCTCCATTTCCTGGCAAAAACACAGAATAGGAAGAGCAATTTTAGCAGTTAGAATCACAGTATGTGTAATGGCAATTTGAATGTTCCAATGTCCTATATCCGTATGTCTTCTGGTTAGAGGCTTGGAGTGTGATTACGCTGCCACCTGCGGGCCGGGAAAGTGCATATTATATCTACAAAATTGAAAGGTTCAAATGAGAGTTATACAGTACTTACTTACTGCCACAGTAAGTAAGTACTGCAAATCTGCCACAATTACCCTGTAATTCTGGTCCCACAGTGGTGATGAGCGCTCCCAGGCAGCGGCCCAAACACTGGTGCACCTCTATGTGGGACGGGGGCACAGTGAGGAGCAGGGTGAGCACCAGGGACAGCGTGGGCTCCACGTAGCCTCTATACATGGGGCCACTAGAATCCACAATCAGAGCCAGAGAGTGCAGAGCCCATGTCTGTTAACAAGAGAGCAACATAATAAGTAAGCTGTAAAGCACAAAGGATAAAAATAACCATTGGTTTGGGGTCAGTTTAGAAAGAAAAGTGGGAAAAATCAACACACTTTGATCCAGGTAAACAAATATATAATCCAGTCCAGATGGGAAAAAAGGATAATGCACCGTACCTGGACCTCATGAGAGGACCCATCCTGGGCCAGAGCCAATAGGATGCTGACACTGGTCTTTAAGTGCTGGCCTGAGCCAATTCCTCCAACATATCGATGCAGACAGCCAAGAGCCAGTGAATGGCCCGTCCTTGATACTACATCACGGGCAGACTTCAGTCTGGGAATAGAGGAAGAGGAGAGATATGCATCACAAGATTAAAGCCAAGGATGGAGAGGAAAGACAGATTCAGTCCAAGATAGATAATGAGGACAATTGAAGACTGAAATTGACCTACAATAAAATGTGAAACAAACTTCTCTGTAACTCATTATAATGGTGGGGTGCTCTCCTTTTATTTTAACACGGGAAATAACGGAATAAAGAGAAAATAGAGGCAAAATACAGATATGAAATGCTTACTTATCAAAGCTGGTCTGTGCCATTCTGGCGATGAAGGTTGCCTCTCCCACCACCTGAGCCATCCTGCCCAGGGCCTCTCCAGCAGCACAGCGCAGGATGGGGTTGGGATTGTCCAACGCTCCCATCACCAGAGCCAGGGCCGACTTACGCACCTCCTCAGGACCCAGAGTACTCTTGTTCTCAGCCAAACCCTTCAGTCAGGAAAGAGATTATTTCTCATTACCTAAATAATCAAACATGATATTCCTGTCTAAAGAGGATATGAAACAGGTATTCTCACCTTAAGGGCACTAAGCACTGCAGTAAAGATGTTTAGTTGGACTGCCTGCTGTCGAACTCCTTTAGCCTGCTTTATGCACTCTGCAAAGTGGTCCAGCATCTGCAGCCTGAATCATAGCGGGTGTGAAACAACAGTGAGAATTAATGTGTATGAATCAAAAAGAGAACACATGTATCACAAAACGATGCAAAGATGTTGCAAATATGTCCAAATCTCCACAGCAACAACATCATTTCTCACCTGTGTTTGAAGGAGACGTGGGGAAAAACAACACCGAAAAGAGCCACTGAGGCATCGATGACGGACACACCCAAAGGGAGAGGGCCCGGGATGGCCTCGCCTACAGGAACACGCAGGTAGATCGAGGAGGGGTCGTGCTCCAGAGCTCCACTGCCAGACGCACTGTTGGGCTGCAGCTGTATGATGATCACACCAGATAATAATGGATCATTTTGAGTATAGATATTTATTTTAAACCAAGTTACAATGACACTTTTTTTTTAGAATATGTATTATATTTGGGATTTTTCATGTCATTGTTGATTTTACTAACCTGATCCTCTATGCACTTGTGGTCCGTCTCCTGTAGCCAGGAACCCATGAGCACACTGTCGTCATAGTGACAGAGAGAGCGAAGCAGGGAGGTGGTTGTGTTGGCCGAGTTGTCAGTCAAAGTGAACTCTGCCACCAGCTCCCTCAGCAGGGCGTTGAAGCTGCCTACAAAAGAAAAACACTGCTTTTTAAAAACACCTCCAAAAATGTTATTGGGGGGAAATAAAATGCAGAAATGGCCGAGTTACCTTCATAGGTCTTGGGGGGCAATAGAGCCAGGATGTCGTACAAGCGGAGCCTCACCATCGCTGCGCTTGCTTTCAGGTGAGCACCATGGACCTTAATGATGGCAGGGACACTGAAAACACATTAAAATGTTTAGAAATATAACCTTGAATTAATTAAATAAATGCAGGAATAGTTAACAAACACAATGAATGGACTGTGTCACACTCACTGAGACATCATGGTCATGGCACATTCAATGGGAGTCATCAGTCTACGGATCACATCTTCTGTCAGCAGCTCGGGACAGTGGGCCACAAAGCTCCGCATGGCTACAGAGGGGAGGAACAGGCGTGTTGGTCAATTGTGTCAGCTAACAATACAGAGCATTGTCTCCGGGGGGGGGGTATGTGTGTGTTTCTTTACCACACAGTGCTCCAGCTCGGCCCTCCAGGGTGACCTGCCAGGTGAAGGCGTCTCCTCTGGCCTTTTCTGCTTCCAGCTCCTTCTGCGAGCGAGGAAACACGTTCCTCCACAGCAGCAGCATCTTGGGAAGGTGATAGCGCACGAGGGAGGGACCTGGGCACAAACACAATGTGGTTTTCAGATTGAGAGGGAGGGACACAGTATTGTTGACAAATCAAAGGTAACAGACATTGGAGGTGTGTCACGGGGGCTCACCGAGAGTCATGAGGGCCCCCAGCAGCAGCCATCCTGCCTGTGTGCGCTGCAGGGACAGACGACTGTTCTGAGCAGCTGTCCTCAGGAGGTCTTCAGCTATACTCACCACCAACTACAAGACAAGAACACTTATATAAAATAATATATCAGGTATAGGTTCTTTATAAAAAAAACTGTGGTAGTATCAAAATGCCTTATTCGTGGAGAAATGCCATGGAATGGAATATCTCGATTTAAGAAACATTGCCTCTACTTGACAAGCTGTCATGACATCTTTGAGGTTGTAACTATAGAGTCACCTGTAGAAGTGCCACTTATTCTGTGTAGTTGACATAAAAAGTGACCCCTGGTTACGGTATTATTATGAAGAAGGCGACAGCGCAAGGAAGGAAGACCGAAAACTCACATCAGATGGGTGTTTTGAAAGCAGGGCTTAAAGAGACAGGCGCCAGGCAGAAAATAGGAGAAAGATTAAGTATTTTTCAACTTTAAAGCATGTAAATATGTCCTAGTATAACCCCAAAATACCAGTATAAACCTGAAAAAGATATATACCCCTTTAAATCTATATAGGCCAACCAAAATGGCCGGTAAGATTACATTCTGAGGCCACACACCTTGCCCTTAGAGTGGGGGATACCGAGCGGACACTGGTGCACGCCTCCCAGCAGAGCAGCCATCGCAAAGCTGTATCCGCTCACAGCCTCCGGGGAACTCTTCAGGCTGTTGATTCTCTCCGCACAGCGGTCCAGCAGCGGGGTCAGCTGATACGGCAGCGCCACGGCAACACAGCGCAAACACCAGGCAGCGGCCAAACGAGCCGCCATGCTTGGGTGCAGCAGCACTGAGGTGACGGTTTCAAGGAGTCCTGGGGAAGAGGACATGGAGTTGTAAACAAATCAATCGAAATCTGAATGGAGCTTATTATGTATTTGATTCACTTTAAGAGCTATATGCAACAATTGCATTTACGGTTACATTTTATGTATTTTCAGTCATGGATGTAGATTAACATAGGTTTTAGCAGCTTTATTCTGTTTTAGGGATGGTGAAAATGTTAAAACCCATAAACAAAGTTACAGAAGAGGCTGGCCAATGACATATAAATTGGCAAATTCCAGTTAGGAGTATTATCAACTATATATTCCCAGCTTGTGAGGAACTTAAAGAGACATTGAATGAAATGGTGTGTGTCTCACCTATAGAAGGTTCCTGTATGAGCGGGGAAGCCGTGGCACTCAGGCTCTGCACCAGGCTGCCCAGCTCTTTGAGGGCACACACCATGACATGCTGACTGGCAGAGACGTCAGCTGCCCCGGCCTTGTTCTCTCCACTGATGTCATTCACAACCGCCTCTGGAAAAACACGAGGCAGAGAAAGAGAAACAAAAAAGAAGTGCTTTTCTTTACAAAATGCAATAATTATCAAGTTGAACAATTTCAAAGATCCTTAGAAAATATGATTAATGTTACAAATTAAGAATGTGTGCAGCACTGCTGGATAAGGTGACCTTCACTGGAGGATTGTAACTTGAATAGATTTCTTTCTTCCGTTTTGTCAGATTTACACATTTTAGAAGTTATTTATAATCATCTTATATGCTACAAAAAATGATGTTTAGTAATAACATAATTCACTGGCCACATTAGCCTATGTACTGCTTTCACACATTATGAATCTGAATATATTTTCCCACAAAATACTGAGAAGCACGCTGCTACATGTCACAAACACAGAGCTCTGAGTATTCTTTTCAAACGGTACAAACAGGACACACTGGCTATAGCTGTATTAATGGATGACGTGACAAAGGAAAAACAGTACATCTAAATTCAGGTAAATCATGGATTCGAATTTTTGAATGTCATTTATCAAGAACTTAAAATCCTCAGAGCTCTGTATAGGCAACAGTCAAGAGGGATCAGACAGAAAAGGAATTAAATAGCTTTAGAAAGAGGAAGGCTGCTTCTTGAACTGTGCTAGTCATGTTATTCCAAACAGTTTAGGAAACCAATAACTAAGTATAGAATAAAGAGGGGAACATATGTCTCCACTCCAGGAAATATTTTTCAAGATACTTTTCACATAGATATTTCAAAATACAATTTCAAGAAGTCTCACAGATCCAGATGGTTGGAAAAGCAGCAAAGATATAAGAGCCCAGGACCAATTTTCAAGAGAAACTGACATTCAACATAGTTATCATCAGCAATCAATCAATATGAACAAGAGTGTACATTTCTGATAGTTGACATCAGTTTAAAGGTTGCAAAGCAAATCAGAGTAAGAATCATCCTTTTTGAATGAGATAAAGGTGATTGAAAAAATGATTAATGTGTTGCTATATCCCAACAAAAACAAATGTTGAGGCACTGAGATCAATAAAACGTAATGATGGAAAAACATGCAAATATGAAGTCTTGTTGCTGGGGACAGGTGGCTTGTTTCTACACTGTGTCTGTGAATTTAGTGGCACATGCAGTTTTTTCTGCTGGTGTAAGCCAGATGTCTACACTCAGAAAGAGTTATGTCATGCTCCTAAGGGATTGCAATACAATAACAGAATGGCAAACAGCCAGTGGAGGCTATGCAATAATGCAAGCATGAGTAACTCAAATGCTGAGCTGGCAGCGTTTGATGTTACTGACATTATAATGCTGCTTGTGGTTAAAAAGAAAAAGTAAAGAAAGAGGAGAGTGATCCCAAAGAGCAAAAGCAGGAAGAAAAGCAGATATGAAAGCCATCTCCACACACAACAAGAAGGAAAAGAAAAACACCACCTCTGTAGACAACACAAGCGCAAACCATGCAAGAGATGAGAAACTAAATGAATTAAAAGTGATAATAATGGATGAGTACTTACTCTGTAATGCTCTGAACCGTGATATTTCCCCCCCATCCTCCTTACCCACAGCCCTCATTTGCTTGCTGATGGCTTGGCAGATTTCTTTGCCGGCTGCAATTTGTGCTTTCTCTCCGAGTAACCCCCCCAGGGTGGCGCGCAGCATGAAGGAAACACAGCGGCGTGAGTACACAGCCTCAACGTGTGTCTGCGTGGCCCGTGGGTGGGACACTAGGTCCAACACGTGGGACAGGAACGTGGCGAAGTTGCGCTCCAGCCACTGACCACCCAGTGTAGTCACAAACACGACGTAGGCCTGGAGAAGAATATAGAAAAGGATCACGTGAGAAGTGTATTGATCAGAAAATGCAGGCTCATGTTCTGATGTTTGAGATTTCACCTCACCTGTGTGATGCCCACCCGCACCTCCCTGCTCACAGAGCCTCCCCCCTTCAACATCTCCCCTCCGCTCTTCAGGAAGCCCGATCCACCACGTAGAAAGCCCGTGGCCATGAGCTCCAGCACTTCCTCCAGAGTGGCCCGCTTCACGTTCTGGCGCATCACTGAGGAAGAACATATTGAGCTCATGAAATACACTACTGGTGAGCTGGACTTATAACTAGACATAAACCACACAAATCAGCCCTTTAACCTACCTGATGCATGTTTGGGCAACAGGGCGGTGGCCATGACTGTCCCCAGCAGTTTGGCCACTTCTACCCGTACACCATAGTTGGATCCTTCCAATGCTTTGTAACACAAAGTGGCCACGTTCTCCAGTTCTGTGGTCCACATGAATACTGCCTCGTTCTGCAGCTCCAACAGGCACTGATCAGAGAAGAAGAATAAAGATGGGGTCCTGTTATTAACCTCTACGTCATGCATGTGCAGTAACAATCTCAATATAGACATATGGATGATGCATACAAACAATTCCAATGCTTATACATATCTTTGCAATATACTAGCCACTAGTTGGAAAGTAACTACGTTTATTTGGTCAAGTCCTTACTGAAGTATTATTTTGAGGTATAATATTTGTATATAATACTTAAGTATTTGTATTTTGTAATAAAGAGAGAAATATTGTACTATTTACTTAATGACTTATATATAAGTTATATAATTAATACAAAATACAAATATACTCATAAATGATTATGTAACATTATAGGTTAAGGGGAACTTTACTATATAAAGTAATTAGAAATAGCCCCACCTTTACCCGCTGCAACATTAAGTGAGTGGCACATCAATGCATCAGTTATACAAAATATGATTCTGAAATAGACCATTGTGCAAATTAAAGTACTTTTACTATTTGTAAATCAAATAAAAAGTAGGAACAAATATCAGTATAAGTGTTGTATTGCTAGAACTACTTTAGTAAGATATGTGAATGTTTATTCCACAACTGCTAGTAACACAACTTGTACAATGTGCAGTACAACCGTCATGTTTTCTAAACAGGAAATTGTCTTTCGAAATAGGGAGGAGTTTTGCATTTTCACATGAGTTGATTCAACATAAATGACATAGCAAAATATGTGTGATTTGAAGCACACAATTCCATTATCTTTCTGAGACTAACCTTTGCAACTGCACAGCGCACGGCCATGGACCTGTCTGTGAGCAGAGAGCGGGCGTTCTTGTAGATATCTCTGTGACATGAAGCTGCAGCTCCTCCCAGACCACAGAGCACCTTCTGCAGGCTGAGAAGGATCTCTCCTCGGCCTTGGGACTACATCAGCAAAACAATTTTGAAAACAGGACAATTCAAATACATTTCACATCTATTTCTGAAAAATACATCTCTTTTAGTTATCAATCTCTGTTCTTATTTTCCAGTTTAAAATTGGACCAAGCACATTCTTGCTGAAAGAAAATGGAAAGCTGCATTCCATTGAGAAATATACGTACCTCTGCACTCTTTAATGCCTTCAACATATTATTAATGGTGTCGGGAAATGAGCTTCCGAGCATCCTGCCCATCTTGTCATAAAAAGCTCCAACGCATGCCACTGCAGCACTGCAAAAAACACAATAATTAAATGAAATTAAAATTCTGTTTAAATATATATAAATAAATGAGTTCACGTTTATAACTTAAATCTCCTATTAAAACATTCAAACTCTCCACAGTGTCAAGGAGGTATGAAAGATTGATAGATAAAAGCCTACAGTACAAGTGGAATATGTTAGATTCCACTAATATCAGCAAGAAAACACAGCATAATATCTGCTAATGTACACTTAATCCCCCCTTTAAACATGAAATGTCATTCTGCAGATTAACATTTGGCTTAACTGCTAATACCCTTGAAGGTGAGCCTACAGTATATAGCTGCTTTTATCCTAATGCAAATATGTAGAGTGAGTGTATTTCTAAAAAATATATAAAAATAAAAGGGATCCTACAGTTTTGTTGGCAAGTACGCAGGTGTGTCATCCTTGCTTTTGATAATCTCATTGCATTTATCCAGAGTCTGGAAAACAGTGAAGGTGTCGCCGATGCTGTAAAGCGTGGCCAGGTTTTTGGCCAGCAGTTTTCTTGTTGGTGGTCCAGGGGCGCTGCTGATCAGTCCTGTCAGCTGTTCCACCAGTTTCTTCTGCTTCTCCTTCACATCCACCTGCCATTTGAATGCAGAACAATGGTCACAAACTGCCTCTAATGAAAACCACTAAGAAAAACAAAGCTGAAATCTCAATTGTCACCCTATTTGCTGTCACGAGCACTTTATCCAAGAAGCGGAGCCATTCGAAGATGAAGACAGGCCTCTTTGCTTCAGTGATCTGGGCCAAGGCTTCTTCGTTGAGCAGCAGACTGTGAGCCAGCTCCATGGCGAGGACCTTTCAAAACACTGCTGCACACCGTAGCCTCTGCAATGTTATATTTGCTTTGTCAGTAAACGTTTCTTTTCTAATATATGCCATTCCTTCCAATCACCTAAAAAGTAAATAAGCACCACCTACGTCACTAAATATCTGTTGACATTTTTGCCATCCTTGCAATGGCTGTATCAGGTGGATGCAAGACACAGAAGTAATAATAAAGACATAGCAGCTGTCAATGCTTTAGAAGTCGTTAAACTCGTGTTTGTTTTTACGCAGAATGTGTACAAATCTGAACTGTCAAAGCTGTGTATCGTTAACACTTTGCTGCTCAGTTCTGACAGCTGCCTGCCTCCAGCTGTTGATGGCTAGCTGGTTAGCAACCTAAGCTAGCTGGTTACTACGAGGAACAAGCTATACTCTAAAGCTACACACACCCACCTAAACTGAGTGTAAGCTATCTTTTATCATCTTTTAAAACATTTAGCATTGCAATAACACTTCCACAACAACACCTTCTCTGAAATATGGTATACATGCTGTTAAATTGTTCATCTTACCTGTTTTGGACAACCTAGCGATGAATGACGACGAGAATCGGCCGTGTCGCGTTAAAATCAGCCCGAAGTGAAACTGAGGAAACGATGTGCACAAAAATAAACTACCGCAACATGAGCAGTACAAAAATATTTCAAAGTATGTATAAGCTTTGTCCAATTTGTCTCCTTGCATTTGAAATTAAAAGAGGTGGTGGAAATATTTGTCAAAACTGCCGGAACTGTATAATCGTTGCCTCACTTGTAGCTACTCGGAATTTGTATTTGAACGAACCAAACATCAGTGAAGCAAATACAAATGCACAACCGGATTATTTTTAAAGTGCTGTAGCTCTAATTTACTACATTTTTTCTCTTTTGCGTGGTCAAAATGTCTGATGAGGAAGAGGACTATATGTCCGATGCATTTCTCAGTAAAATGTAAGCCTTGTGGAGATTTCTAATTAAGCTACTACATTAACGTTTACTGTTACATGATTAACATTACTGCCCTGTGGTATCAGCCCTGAAAAACGAAAATTGGGTATTTTCAGAGTTTTTAAAATATAGAAGTGCGAGTTTACAGCCATGCTGACAGTGTTGTACCATCCCAATAACTGTTTCTATGTCCCTCTGTCTTTCAGACCAGATGTGAAGCCAGGTGTCAGCATGGTGAGGCGGTTAAAAGAAGAAATAAAGAAGGAGACACAGATCAAGGAGACAAACATCAAGAACCGCCAGAAGACCTATAAAGAGCAAGAGAATGAAAGCAGAGAGGCAGCTTTACAGAACTCAATTTGCAATGAGAACAAGGGATTTGCAATTCTGCAGAAAATGGGTTACAAAGCTGGTCAAGGCCTAGGGAAGGCAGGCAAGTTTCTTCTTTATTAATCTAATTGTATTCTGTTTTGCATTTGTAGTGTGTGTGTATTAATTTACATACATGTTGCCTCTTCAGGAGCAGGAAGGGTTGATCCAATTCCTTTAAACATCAAAACCGGTAGGCAATACCTTTGTGACACAATTACATTTGGTTTGGTAAAAGTATGTGAAATCCAACTGCTGGCTTACAGTGTTTGATTATGTGTCTTTGAATGCTAAACCAGACAGAGGTGGAATTGGAATGGAAGAGGTGAAGAAAAGAAAAGCTGAGGAGGAACTTCAACATTATCGTCAGAAAACACGAGCCAAACAACACAATGAGACAAAGTCTCTGGAAGACTTTAGGTGAAGTTTGTAGCCCTCCATGAGATGCACTTTGGCTCTGAATATCTCCCATCTTATAATTCAAATGTTTCAAAATGTGTGTGTGTGACGGTGTGCTTTTTTACATCAGGTCGAGAGTAAGGACAGAGAGAGAGGAGCGGAAGATTGAAGGAGATCTCAGAAAGAGTCAGCGAGCCTGTGAGCAGCTTGACAGTCAGAAGGTTAGAGGAATTAAGTTTAAAATATAAGCTCATCACTATAATACAGTGCTGCTATTGTTAAAGAACTAAATTCTCTTCACTGAGAATAAATACAAATGTGCCATGAGAATGACCATGATTTTTTTAATTTAATCGATGTAGTAACAGCCCTTGTGTAAATCTTTTGGCTATATTGTCTTTGCAGGGCATCACTGTCCCAAGGGAAGACTGGTACTGGCCTAAAATAGAAACTAATGACGAGGAGGATGATGTTGAGGAGAAGGAGGAAGAAGAAAAAGAAGAAGAAGAAGAAGAAGATGAAGAGGAGATTGTTGAATTAAGCGTCAGTATTGAGTTTACCTTGTTAACAGTGCTGTAATGTGTAATTTTAATACATTAACCCAAATCAATTCTGTTGTCAAATGCATTTTTGGTAATAATAGTTCAAAGAGTTGTTGCCAAAAAGCATACATAGGAAATGTATCTCACATTCTGCCAGTGTATAGTACACTATTGTTGTCCTGGCATAAGGTAAATAATTCTGAGTAAAATGAATGTATTTGATATGTGTCTCTCTTTGTTACAGTCTTTTGACAAACTGCCAATTTTGACGTCCTATTTGAGAGGAATCCATTTTTACTGCATATGGTGTGGGACCACCTACAATGGTAAGAGTGATGACAACATGGCTGTGGGTTTTTATTGTTGTTGCCTTTGCAGATATTTTTATATATATATATATTTTTTCTTACAGATGAAGACGACTTGTGCTCTAACTGTCCCGGGGACACAGAAGCAGACCACGATTAAACTCGAAAATATGAACAGTAGTTCCTAGTGAAAAAGCAGTTGAAAATGTTTAACCTGCCAAACATAATGTTAAAAGGGGGTGCAGAGAGCATTTTACGCTGTGAAACAGGCTCGTCAGCCCTGGTTCTTAAGCAGTTAAGGAAACAGTCGATTAGCAGTACAGAAATATGTATTTATTGTTCGCATTTGAATCTGTTTCCATCTCTGGAAGAACATCACTGTTTATAATGTTTGTACGGCGGTCTTGGTTTTATGAAATCTGCATTAAGTCAGTGGGAAATTCAGGATGCCTTTTTTATTTACCTTTTTTAAATGTTTAAGACATGTTTCAGGAGCAATTGAAATCCTATGTTTTCATTAAATGTTTGAAGATGTATACCTTGTCATCTTAATTTGTATTTAAGCAACCTAATAATACAATAATAAATCACATTACTTTAGGTTTAATAGAATGTAATTGTGCCTTTGTTTGTGTGTGACCATTAGTTGTGAGTGTATATAGGTCCTCTATTTGCTGGGTAAAAACCCTCTTCAACGATTAAAAAAAAAACGGTACCATCACCAACTCCAGCTCCCATGAATTTTAGCACTTGGCTCTTACCTAAACCTTCTTGGGATCTGTAGTTTTTGAATGCTTACAGCGTTTTGTCAAGGTAGGCACATATTTTATTGAAGCTACAAACATTTCAACAACAAAACATAACAAACGTTTAAAAAATCAAGACAAATTATATATAATATCGTAGAAAGCCGCAAAGAAAACATAACAGTGGTCTACCTAATTGCTATTAAAACAAAAACATCACGTTCACTACTTAAACTTTTCCCATAAACTTCCCAGGGTTATTATAACCTTAAACTTTATATAGCATACAACTGTTTCACGGTTATAGCTTTCAATTGGTTCCTGTTTGCTAAAGGCTGCCACGATGTGTGACGTTGTCGTTTACCGAGAAAACGAAACTTAATTCGGTCAGGCGGAATCGAGCTACGTAGAACACGGGGCAGTACAGTTGTGATGAAAACTGAAACATTTAGCTTATAGCTAATATCGTGAATGTTGCATTTTGAAATGACATTCCGACTGTAGGGATATGCATAATGGACGTAGCTAAGCTAAACGAGTATGCTCAGAAGGAGCGGTTGTCGCTGAGATATGTGGACGTTGGATCTGTTGGCCCGGATCACATTAAAACGTGAGTTGCATTCATAATGATGATTCACCATCTTTTAAAGTCATGCATGCAGGATTCTAAGTTACTGAGACTTTATTAGCCTGACACACTCCTATCGTATGTGTTGAGAGTATTTTCACATGGTGTTTGTTTGTAGAAGATAAGGAAATGGGTCTAGGCATGGGCGCCTAGTTATAGCAGAAACGGTATAGGCCTACATTGTTATATTAGTTTGTTTATTAGAAGTTCATATTAGTTCGTTGTATTGTAGTGTAGGAGTGTCGTTGGTTATAGTTTAGAGTAGGGGAGAACGATTAGTGCAGTAAGGGTTGGCACGGACTGCACAGGGGGTGAATAAATATCCTCTGTGGCACAGACGATTATTTATACCAGTATGTCCTTGTTTTTGCATGTTTACAGACGCCCCCATCAATTTGAGGCATTTAGTTTTAAACATAAAGTTAAAAGGCACAAGCTCACTTGCTGGCAGTGATTTCATTCATTTTTGACAAGGGCTTAGTGTGCATGAGTGACATACGTGCAGAGGTGGAAGAAGTACTCAAATCTTGTACTTTAAGTAAAAGTAGAAGAACCACAGTGTAGGAATATTCTGTTGACAAGTAAACGTCCTGCATTCAAGATAAAAGTACAAAAGTATTAGGATCAAAAATATTCTTAAAGTACCAAAAGTAAAAGTACTCATTATGCAGTTTGGCCCATTTCAGAATAATATATACTGTATGATATGTTTTGATTATAATAATTGATGCATTAAAGGGTTTATCAAAGCTGGTAAAGGTGCAGCTAGTTTTAATGACTGTGTATACTGCAGGGTAGCTGGTGAATTTACTCCAGGTGTAACTAAAGTGTTATTTAAGTGTTGATTATATTTCACATCTTTAATCCAAATCTGCAAAGTAAAAGTGGAGTAAAAGTACATAATTTACTTCTGAATTGTAGTGGAATAGAAGTACAAAGTAGCAAAACATTTAAATACTCAAGTAAAGTAAAAGTACCTCAACATTGTACTTAAGGTACTTACTCTACAGGTTCCACATTTACTGATGCTTATTTTTCATTGGCTTTTTATAATAGATCTGTGTATCTTACATACAGGCATAAATATCATTTTCTTAAGGTATTTAACAACATCATTTTAAAAAAATATATTTACTGTTTCTTTACCAATATGTGTGGTATTTACATCATAAAATTACAATTTTCAAATTGCATTGTAGTTTACAAAATCTTGATGACAGCTATAATTCTTAATCTTTTGATTTGCATTTAAATCATTTTGAGATGCCTTGCTGTTTGAATCATGCAACATATATTAAAGTTATATTTTTATGAACTATTTTCATGCAGTCTCTGAGATAAAACGTAGTTTATATTATCGTAAATATTGACTAATTACTTATACTTATATGGGTTTCTCTGTAAATATACAAAATAACACAAATATGTACAATAAGTGGGTCATCATGACATACATATCCTCTGGGTCACATTCATAACCTATACACTTTGGCATCTCATCAGCAACAGTGGCAGTTGCATAGTTTACCGATGAGGGCCTAAGTGGTCCAACAATGTACGTTTATAACTTCAACTGTGGGGATGTTAAGTAAATGCCGATTCATGTCTTTGTAACACAACCCCCATCACATTATTTCATCATCTTGCATTTCAACAAAGTTTTACCATTTCTTCTCAGGTTTACAGTCAGAGCAGTCGTGAATGGTAATGTGTATCCTGATGGTGTGGGAAATAACAAGAAGGAAGCCAAACAAAACGCAGCTACACATGCCCTGAGGTGCTTGTTGGAGAAACCACCTGACCCTGTAAGATTATTTTACCTCTTTATTGACATACTGCATGTGTGAGTATTTGTATTTCAAAGTATATTAGACCAAATCACTATCTTCATATCTTCTTTATGTATATTTCTTATTTTCTTGACAGACCGAGAAGGTAGCTGAAGCTTCTACTGCATCAGTTCTACAAACAAGTTTCACTCAGCCCAAATATATAAGTTGGCTAAATGAATATGGTCAAAAGAAACGGCTTAGTATAAGGGCATCGGAGTCAACAAGACTGGGACCAAATAATGCTGCTCCGTAAGTCTCTTAATTTTCTCTTTAATTTCCAGCTATTTTGTCACAGTTTTAAAAAGCAATCAATACGTTATTTTTCTGATATTAGATGCTGTTGCTTCATTGTTGGTGAGAAAGAGTATCCAACTGCCACTGGGAGAACGAAAAAAGAAGCTAAAGAGGAAGCAGCCAAGCTTGCATATCATGAGATATGTGACAGTAAAACTACGGAGGTAAGTAGTAATACTCACTAGTTTCTCCAGGCTTAATGAAAAGCCTATAACAAATGATGTTGTTTTCAAGTCTAGAGGGGAGAAATATTGTGGTGCATTAAGCCAAGAGGAAGAGGAAGGAAAGGTATGTTCATTACTTTGTGTTCCTCTGTGTTTTTTAGGCATCTTTGTGCTCAGCTGCGTCTGATGACGGGGCGCTTGCCAGGGTGTCCACGCCACCGAGCCCACCGTAAGGCACCGACTAAGGATTACGCCATATGTTAACATTCCATGTTGAGAATCTTTTACTATAATGTCTCATTTTATTCTCCAAGGGAGTTCCTTAATCCCAAACCTAAAACTCTGCCCAAGACTTCAACTGACTCAGCTGTTTTCTTAGATTCATCCAATCTTCCTGAGGACAAGGTCTGTTATTTCCTGTGCTATCCTCTTAATGCTTTTCATACATTGAAATACAAATGATGTACAATATATATATATATATATATGCCGTTAATAACTGTGCAATATATACCTGGCTGCTATATCTTCAGAACTGTTACAGATTGTGTAAATTGTGTCATTTTGTTAAAATGTTGTATCTTTAATTTATTTGTTATGCATGCTTCTTAGTTAACATTAAGCTTTCTTTGGCTCTTTCTGCTGTAACAAATGTAAATTCTGATTCTGATACTTCTTCAGTTGGTACTGCTCAGTCTATTACAAAGGTTGGATTATTAACCTTTAATGTTTTACGTAACTGGTCATGTATTTAATTGCCTTCTGCTATTGGAAAAATAGCAGCAAGTGATTTAATCAATTAGGAGGATGCTTTTTAGGGTTACACATTTTTGGTGTGAGCAAATCAGAATCAGAATACCTTTATTAGTCCCACAGAGGGGACATTTACAAGTTGGCAAAACCAAGAGTGTGTCAATAATTGCTGCCATATTAGTGTAGTTCACAGCATTGAAATTTGAGTAGTAAATACAGACTTCTTTAGGACATTAAGTAATGGATTTTGCACCGGACAATCCCCCCCACTCCCATTGCTCCCCGGGCGCTGTACAATAGCTGCCCACTGCTCCTAGTAATAGACTCCTGGTACTAGGATGAGTTAAAAGCAGAGAACACATTTCACTGTGTGTGCTGTGTGCTCTGCATGTGTGACCATTAAAGAGGGTTTCATCCCTCCCAATTCCTCTTCTTCTTATATATATATATATATATATATATACCCTCAAGTATAATTGGCTGTGTTTTATTTCTTTTTGAAAAGATTCAAAGTCCAGACGTGAAGCCAAAAATAAGGTAAAGCATCTTCTCCGGTTCACGCTAAAGCCACGGTACATCATATTTCACCTGATGTTATTTCTGATTGTTCTTTTTCTTTGCTAGAATTGCAGCAAATTTCAAAAATTCCCCCAGAAGCAACAAAGATGTAAGAAAATATCAATCGTGCTGGATTCGTTTGTTGTTTTTTGTCTGTCTTTTTAACTGTCCTTATATCATTTATAAAGGATGTGATAAATGTCAATGACAAGAAGACAGGAAGTAGTCCAAGTAAGAAAACTACAAAGCAGTCAGTGAATTCAAGGTATGGAAAATAAAAAAGGTTTCATCCTAATCGTACACTGCTGTGGCCTTTACCTTCTGTATCTATGTATGTATATTTATTTTGTTTTGTCACAATTTTTCCCTCAACAGGTTCACATCTGAATTTGACTCCATTGTGTCCCTCGGCAGCGGAAGCTTCGGTCGTGTTTATAAGGCACAACAAAAACTGGTAACGAAGGATTATGCTATAAAGATTGTCCCTTGCAAAGAGTAAGTAACGTATGAAAGATGCTTCCTTTTGTTTCCGTTTTAAATGAGCGCTGTATTCCTTTACATTTTTTGTTTTGCATAATCAAAGGTAGGTTTCATTAACTGATCCATGTTCTTGTTCTCATCAGGATCAAAAAAGTTCTACGAGAAGTGACAGCATTGTCAGACCTCCATCACAGCAACATCGTGCGATACTACACCTGTTGGTTGGAGGATTCAGGATACCAATGGGACAGCAAAGATGACAGTGGCAGTTCCTCACAGTAAGCCACACACAGTTTATAAATATCTTTACTTAAAGGGGACCTATCATGCAAAATGCACTTTTGCACGTCTTTTATACATGAATATGTGCCCGAGGCAAGCGTTTGCTCCCGCTGCTTTAATTCAATGCAATCCCTCCCCGTCGAGGCAAGCACTGTAATTATCTCCGGTTAGTCCACCAGCAGATGACAAACACCCACCTCTCCGCCTCTTCCAAGGAACGAGGGGACCGTGCGGCAGAGTTTCAGTTTCAGTTTCTTTCGCCGGTCAAGATGTCCGTTAAAGTTTAAATCTTCCGGACAAAATTAGAAAAGTGCCGGTCAAAGGTCTTCTTTGTTATTTATTGAGCTTTAAAACAAATGAATAACGACTCTATATAATAAAACACGGAGGACGGAGATCTCTTTTCCTCCCCCTCTTCTGACAGCCCAGCAGCTGATCAGAGCACGGCTCCCCTCTCCTGCAGGGGGGCGTGGTCAGCTGAATCAGACCCGTAGACAGCAAACAGCACATAGAGCGAAATGAGGCATGGCTAAAATGCATGATCTGTTTGGTATTTTGAAAACAGAAACGTATAAATATACCTTATATAGGTATGGCCCTACAATATATCATTTAAATATAGCATGATAGGTCTACTTTAACTGTTCACTCTGGCAGATTTAGATCTAGGCTTGGCCTTAAACTAAAGTTTAAGTCATTTTTATCATATATAGTTTTAGTCAACAACATTTTATTACGTTTTACTTCAATACTGGTCAATGAATGTTTCCTCTTTTATTTTGTCAGCCATCTTGTTTTTTTTTCCTGTGTCAAATTACCTTTTTAGTAATCAGATTATACTAAACTAAATTACATTTTCTGAATCAAAATCTCAAACTTGATAGTGCATGTCAATCGTCACAGTTGGTGTTCGATGACATCGGTGTCCTCTTGTCATCGTCTCGTGTTATTCATTAAAATAATTGACAAACATATTTGAGCATAGTTTTAGTTATATTTAAAGAGGCCATATTCTGCTCATTTTCAAATGAGTATTTTGTGCCTCTACTGCGACATGTTTCCATGCTTCAATGTTCAAAAAGCTCTTTATTTTTATCATACTGCCTGTGCTGCAGCACCTCTTTTCACCCTCTGTCTGAAACCAGAGCCCAGTCTGCTCTGATTGGTTAGCTGGCCGGATCTGTTGTGATTGGTCAACCGCTTAGAGATGTCCCGCCCCTTCGCCTATCAAGCACAATGAAAGACTTGGCCAATAGAAGCGAGTGTTACATTGTGTAGTCACTATGTTACTGAAGTAAACAAAGGGGTCCGATGGAGGCGTTTCAGGCAGAGGGGGGGAGTGTGTGGGAGAGAAACTCCCTGTGGAGTTTACTTGCACACAAACCTATATAACAACACTACAGGAAAAGGGACAACTCAAAAAAGCTAAAAGGGCCTCTTTAAGAAACCAGTGTTTTCTCTTTTTCTAGGTCAACCGGTAATTCGTCGGTTAAGTTCTTTTATATTCAGATGGAGTTGTGTGACACTACACTCAGAGTGTGGATAGACCAGAAGAATATTCAGAATGTGAAGAAATCACTGCGAGACTCCAAGAGAAGAGAAGACGGTCTAACTATTGCTCAGCAAATAGTCAGCGGAGTCGAGTACATTCACTCCAAGATGCTCATACACAGGGACCTGAAGGTGAGAGAAAGTGAAAAAAAAACATTGTTTAGTACGCCATGTCGATCATGAAGCTACAGGTTTTTTTTTGTATTTTCCATGGTTAGCCTGCCAACATCATGTTTGGGCAAGATAGAGAAGTGAAGATCGGAGACTTTGGTCTGGTCACGGATGAGAACGACGACGATGCTGACAACCTGAGGGAGAGAACGGTGTACAAAGGAACCCCGGGATACATGGCTCCAGAGCAGGTGAGATGTTCTGTGTTATTAAACATGTATGCAGATTTTAACCACTAATGATGCTGTCGAGCTAACTAACATTATTATTTTGCTCTTATTTATAACAGAAAAACAGGCGCACGAGTTATGATCGAAAAGTGGACGTATTTGCTTTGGGGTTGATCTTTTTTGAAGTCTTTTGGAAGATCTTACTTGATGAAAGGAAACCGGTGAGTTATTGAGATTCCTAAATGATTTCCAGTTGATATTAACTGTTTATTATACAAATATTTAGCTAACTGATAGAAAATAGGTGTTATGCAATTGATATTCATATTTCAACAGTCATTGGTAGGGTTAGGATTAGATTTGCTCCATTTTACAATGAAATACCAACAAAATAATATATATTTATTAATATAGAGGAGTCAAATAATAAATGTGCACATTGTACTACAACTTATACCAACAATAATTATGTACAAATTACAAAATATGCCAAAGTGATGTGAATATTACACAGTTGAATAATGCATGTAAGTTATATAGTCTGTTTTGTACAGTTATATACGGTATAAATGTATGCTATAATAACAATAACAATGGCTCTGTTGTATTTTCAAGTGTCTTAGTAAGTCATGACAGTGAGTCAGCATGCACAAAAGCAGGAACTTGAAGTTGAAACAGCCAAATGGATTTTGGGCACCAGTGCTCTTCTGGCTGTGACATCTCAAGACGCCTTCTGGGAAATGTTGGGCAGCTTATCGATTTCTAACACACTAACAACATGTTCGTTTTTTTCTCCCTTTTTTTGTATCACATGAATTTTAGATTTGGGATGATGCCAGAGACCAGACGTTACCTCAAGGGTTTCAACAACATTTTCCACTGGAGGTACATCAGCATTCTTTGATTTGCTTGACACATAAAACCATTTTTTTCACAGGATGGAAGCCATTTGTCAAGGCCTCCAACAGGGCACTGGTTATGTTGGTGTAAAGGGGTTTGAACTGTTAAAACATATTTGAAGCTTCATGGAATTAGTAGCCCAACAAGGCCTGTTGTATGTTGTATGTATATTTTAGTCAAATGTTTAATAGCTAGTAAAACAGATGTCTTTACTTGGTAGGTTGCCCAAGTAAAGTCAGCGGAGTATATGGAGCAATGGCAGCATCCATGTAAATGATGGAGATCACACTCTTTTTGTTTTGCAGAGCAAAATCATCGTGTCAATGCTGTGCGAGAAGCCCCAAGGCCGACCTGAAGCAAGTAAACTAAAGACAGACTTTGAAGAGTGCACTCGTAGATTTACATCTCTTAAAGATATGTGCCTCAACAGTCAGACGTTTTGATTATTTCAAGAAAATGATTAAACAACAGGCAAAAGCATCAGTCATCACATGCATGACTATTCAGCATCATATTCCATAACACTGAGAGTTTTTATTTCCTAAAAGGGGTATCTGTTTAAATGACTGATGTTTTCATGAACTAAAGGCATCTGATTAATTTAGAATAATGGAGCAGAGTTGTTTTTTCAAAACTCTGCTGAACTTTTCATGGAATTCTGATAAAATCATATTAATATTTTTCTCCAGCGAGTGCATTATGCTTTATGACGAATCAGACAAAGGTTTTGTTTACATTTTTAATTTTGCTCAAACATTAAATATGTATGGCCCAGATTTGTTAAAAGCAGGCGGGAAGTCGAAGTTCAGTTCAGACTGGCAAACACAGAGATGTCTTTTTTAGGGCTGCCCTGTACTGTAAAGGTACAGATAATTACTAGAGGCAATACACTCATCCGCATTTCCCTCACCGGTAATGTAATACCGGTGAAGGACAGGCCTGCTACTTTGTAAAAGAAAACATACCCCCATAGAGACAACCCATAGTGGCCATTTGCAGACATGGTTGTGCTGTGGTGGGGATTTTGATGCACGTCTATTTGCACTTTACGGCTTCTACAGAACGGCTTATCCAAAGGACCTCACGCGCTGCACTCCACTCCCTCTGGTCCACAGCAATACATGGCAACCATGAAGTGGATCGGTCCTCACATATATACACCGAGGCGTCTGTCATTATAGTAGTATATTATGCCATTTGAGACTAAAGAAATGTTGTTTGTAAAATATGTTTTTTGGCCCCTGGGTCTTCAGTCATATTCCTACCAATACCTTCTTGGTCTTCAATACCTTCAAATAAACCTTGACATAACTCGTGAAGCCTTAAATGTGGTAGAGGCATAAAAAAGACTGTACACACTGGATCAAAATGATGAAAGTGAACAAGCAGATGTCATGCATTTCATTACCGGCCCTTGAAATTGGAAAAAAGCCAAATATGTGGATTTGGGTCCCCAGGCAGTATGCACCCCCAAAGTATATACATATGGACATCTCTATATTTCCTGTGTTGGATTAATGTTGTGACACATTTCAAGGGCTCTAACATCATCAGAATTTTGAGATGTGGCAAGATTGGTAATGTGGACTCATTGCTAGAACCTTGAAAATGTGTGTGAAAAGGGGTCTTTATGTGGGTATTTTGTGCGTTAAGTAACAAGTTCCTTCCATGTAGTCTACATGTTCAAATTGAGCAAACAGAGGCTTTAAGCACAATCAGCTACCATCGAGGTCCCGGTGACCTTTTTTCAGTGCTAAGTAAACTGTATTGAGTTGTTGTGTTAGCTGCATGTGTTGACATTTTCTCCAGACACATGGTTGGAGACAGCTCACTAATATAATGCCATTGGATTTATAAGAAAGATCCACCAGATGCTATCTTTGTGGGGCCAACTTGACATGCTACATGTTACATGCTCCATTGAAGTGGCTTTTGAGCGCTTCCTTTATGCAAATAATGTGTATTGAGATACATTTTGAGCGCATTTCTTTACTTGTAGGTTGGATTAATCCCACCCTCACTTGCCAAATGCAGGTCTATACATGGGTACTCGGTTTATAGATGCCGCATCTTGTTACATTTAAACGTGAAGAAAACATGTAAGGCACTTGAAACTTTACACACAGACTGCGCACTTATAGACTCTTTTTCACACACATTTTCAGGGTTGCAGGAATGATTCCACATCACCATTTTGGCTGCTCAAAAAGGCAACAAATTACAACTTTGACATGTCAAGTTGCAACAAGTCAGATTATGTTTATGTTAGAGCCCCTGAAATTTGGTATAACATCAATCAATTACTGTAATGCTATGGGGATGTATGAAAATGTCCATATGTGTAAACTTAGGGGGACTGCCTGTGGCCCCAAAAGCACCAATTATGCACTTTTTCTTATTTCAAGGGCCAGTAATACAAATATGACATCTGCTTGTGCCTTTTAACGATTTTTATTTTGTGGTTAACATTTTATCTGTGTTTCTACCAAATGTCAAGGCTCTAGGAGTTGTATTTATTAAGATTCTGAACGCTGAAAAGGGCTTCTTGCCTGACACATTTTTAGTGGGTGAAAATGACAAAATTCCCGGGGGGAAACTAGTCGGCAAGTCTCGTAAGTTCTGCAAAAATATAAAACAACATTTATTTTTTGGTTTTAATTAACATATATATATATATATATATAATGTTTTGACAAAATGTATGATATAAATAAGAACCTCCGTCTGATTTGACATATTGCAATTTTAACTTTTAACAAATAATTAAGTCATGGTTACGTTATCAACTAATTGAAACAATGTATTCCACGCTGCATGTCTAGGTTCAAGTTGTCAAATGAAACCCATTGCTTTTAATGACTGAATAAAATGTTGGCAACAAGGGTGTGATGGTCATCAGTCCTCTGTAAAGTTTTACATAATTTCTGCTGCATGACGTGAATTCCTCTGCTTATAATATGCTTTGTTTACATTCAAATTAGTCTGTACGGGTATTTGATCACCTCTGAATAAGGGAATGTGCCCTTGTTCCAGAAAAATTCAAACACTTGATGATAACGACTTTAAATGCCGAATCTTCAACATTTAGCATTTCTGACATAAAGGAATAACACTCAATATGTGAGTGTTTTTCTTTCTAAATCAAGTTTTTTAAATGTTCAGGTCGAATAAACATTTAAAGGTTAAGATAATAGGAGGTATAACTGGTCAACCACTGCCAGGTGTAATCCAGCTTTGTGGTAGGTATTAGCAGAGAGTGAAAGTGCCGTGCAGAAATTAGCAGAAAGCTCTCTTTACCCATGATATGTCTTAAGGAGACACTTGTATGTCTCAGTTTTGTCATTTAAATGTCCATCCCGTATGATTGGCCAAAGTTGTCCTGTGACTACTTTAAGTCCCAGTGTGACAGACAAGCAGTATTCCTACTGTCTTCAACCAAAGCCAAATTGGGTGCGCCCTCTGTGGCTGCAGCTACATGGCTATTGCTATGACTTTAATATTAGTGGTGTCTGTGATTGTGACTGGAATGCCTTTCTTTTTTAGCAATCACAATAAGATGGTAATATCGACCAACTCATCATTGTAATATCAGGAGTGTCATTAAGGTAGGTGTGTTAGTTTGACTCATCAGAAACCTGTCACATGCTAACAAAGACAGAGCCAAACACTTTCAGTTCTTACCTCTGTTTTCACATATTAGATCAGATTACATTATATTCCTTAATTGTCACTACACAGAGTACAGCGATCCTGTATGTATTGTTGTTAAATATGTTACATTATAGTAATACAATGCACTAATTTTAATAATACTTATTTCTTTTTATAAATGTATATTCAAGAATGGGACAAAAAAACAATTTAGCCCAATTCCCAGTTTGATCAATAAAGTTTTCTTATTGTGACTGTCTAGCTTACTTGAAAGCATTAATATCAAATTCATTTGGCTGACACGTGACAAGTGTCACAACACATTTACTGGAAACTTCCCAAACCTGCTTAACCTTAACCTTAACCTAACAGCCAGGTAGCACCAGGCAGGCCCTGGGTAAGCATGCAAACTTTTGTCTGACTATGGCAACAGTGTAGCTCTGATTAAACATGGTGTGACCTTATAAAATAAACACTATACCTTGTAAGGGGTGTCCCTTGTGAAAAGTGTTGCCCCCACCCTGAGACATTGTGTGCACTCCACTGGACAGATTAACTTTTTGCCAAATGACACATTTCTGCATTTTTGCCAGCAGTAGTACGTAAATATTGACTGTTGGTCTCTTTCACAGCACGTTTATGGACATATTATAATAATATAATAAACCCTGGAATAATATCATATTCCAGTGTCAAACATTTTTTTCAATTTTAATTCAATTAGATGCAGACAGTTAAATATAAAATACAATAAGGCATCGATCTAAACATTGCCTAAAACGATAACATTCAAAGGGTTGAACTCGAATCATGGACTATACTTTATTTAAAGCGAAACAATATTACTATTTGTTGTCTGTCATCACCAGTAATGAATCAAACACGAGTCGAGCAGCGTAACCTTACGTGAATGACGTTGAAAACGAGGAAATCGAAACTTACTTGTATCAAGAGTCAGCTGAATCGAAAGAGAGCACAGATAGCGCAGGACTGCAGAAGGGACAAGGCTGGAATGAGACATAAACAAGTATTGTGAGATTGAACTTTGTTCTCACAGTTTTATGTAATTAAAGATCAAAGTTCGACGGTTAAATAATTTAAGATGGAAAGTGAGAATTCTGTCGCAAGACTCAACGAGTACGCACATAAAAAAAGATGTACTCTGGACTACAGGGAGTCTCCACCTGATGGCCCAGACCACTGCAAAACGTAAGTAATTTAACATTTGTTACCGGTGGGTTATGCAAATCGGTATAGCTACAGTACATTACATTGCAGCAGTGGGAGTGGTTATGTATCAACGTTATTGAGCTACTGTACTCATGGGAAATCAGAAATTGACTTCCTTATTATCAAATAATCGTAAAGTAATATACGTTGTTTTTTCTTTAACGAGCTCCTTAAGGGGTACATGTTTTCTTTCCATGGCCCCAGTGCTTCTACACAAACAATAAGCCCATAAAATACTAAAAATGGTCTAGGAACAACTATAGTTGTTTTAATTATTGTTATGGTGACTTACTTACTGTTTCCCTGAAGTAAGTTTTCTCTCTGTTAATTAGTTCCATGCAAATTCAATTGACATTATTTTCAGGAAGTGACATAATAGATTTGAATGGAAGTCAAGTAGGTTGAGCATAAACTTTCACTTTTTGTCCTCTATGTTTCATGATGTTGATCTGTTTGGCTAAATAACAGAATATAGGTTGTCTTACCAAACTGGTTTAGGTCCAATTGGGCTACAGGTCCCATTTATTCTGATCCAGACCTGCTAAGACCTGTATTCTGCAATATCTTAAAAAAAAATAGTATATTGTGGTGAGGTAAATGCAATAGAGGAGTGGTAAAAAGTTACATAGAATAGGATCCTCAAAAATAAGTATGAGTTTGTAAATGTACTGTGTTAAATGTACGCTTATTAATACAATCACCATTGAAGAGGGCTTTAGCACCTACTACTTGGGGGAGTAGAGGCTTAATAATAGTGTGCAGATGTAACTTAATTCACCCCAACCCCACCAACATTATTTCAAGTCTGCCTGAATAACAGAAACATGACAATTCCACTACAGATTCACCCAGAGGGTAGTCCTGAATGGTAAAGACTATCCTGAAGGTGTGGGGAAGACGAAAAAGGAAGCCAAGAAAGATGCTGCTAAAAATGCCCTGAGAGTCTTGTCAGAGGGCACACATCAGGTATGAGTTGAGACAGTAATATTTGTTGTCCTCTATTTTTAACAACCCCCTATTATTAAAGGTAGTCACTTACTCAGCAGGACATAGTCCTCTGGGTGAATATCTCAATATGTATTTTTTTATTGTCAAGACTGCAGATGATAATTACAACCCTACATCAGCTCAACAAAAAAAGGAACTAAACCAAAATGATTCTGATATCTGGTGAGTAAATCGCAAAGCCAGTGCAATGTTTTATTTTCATGTCTTCATCTGTGTTAAATATCTCTTGTTTATTACAGTAATAAGACAAGAAGCCTCAGTGTCAACTCTCAGGACAACAGCTCTAAACATAATTTCATTGGATTGGTTAACCACTACTGTCAGACAAAAAAACTCTGCCATTCATTCGTTGAAGTGAAGAGAGACGGTCCAGCTCATATTCCTCAGTGAGTATGAACCAGAACCACTGTTACCTGAATAGACACTACAGACACTCTATGGTAACTCTTAAAGGTCACCTATTATGCAAAATCTACTTTTTCATGTCTTTTATACATAAACATGTATAAAAGGGGGGCGGGGCCAGCAGCTACTGACCCAGAATCAGCAATTCTCTAACAGGGCTGAAACAGAGGGATATGAGGGATGTCTAAAATGCATGATCTGTTTGGTATTTTGAGCAAAACACATCATAGACATGTTTTTTTATATATTTGTATATATCTGAGACCCATAATATATGCCTAAAAATAGTATGATAAGAGATATTTAAACAACATTAACATTTTAACATTCTGATCTAAATTATTTCCATCTTTTAAAAAAAACACAGATTCTTCTACAGATTAATAATAGACGACAAGGAGTACCCTGTGGCTGAGGGTAGGAGTGCCAAAGAAGCCCGACAAAATGCAGCTCGACTTACCTGGTCTGCTCTTAAAGAACAGACAGATTGGGACAGCAAGGTATTTATATTGATGTACTTCACCATGAAATATACACTCAATTGCCAGTTTATTAAACTGGCACTCAAGGGTAGTTTATATTTCCTGGTGCTTTCAGCCGCTGTACAGCTTTTATTTTGAAAAAACCTTTGCATAAAACAATCAAGCAAGACATTTTTTTTCTGCTAGAGGAAATACATTTTATTATTTTTATTCAAGGCAATGGCCTTTTTCCCCCAAGATGATGTTTAACACACCTTTTCCTTGCATTTCAGGTGTCTGTCAGATCAACACTGTCGGAGGATGGTGCACCGCCATCATCATCATCATCATCATCATCAACTCCACTGTAAGGCACTTTGACTTCTCAGCATGGAGAGACAAAGTGGGGCCTTTGTCCTGCAATGTCTGAAAAAGATTTAAGTTTGGAATAGTTGAACTTTTTGCGGCGAAACACAGCTAGAAAGTACCCGCAGCGCATCCTCTGATGTGTCGTTCTAAATGACTAAGAATGTATTCTCGCCTGAATCACGTGAAATGGAAATAAACAAAGAAAAAATGAAGGATACATGTTGGAATTTGGCGGTATTGTGATTAGAGCGGAACATGATATAACAGAGAAAAAGCTGTACTCATGTCTATCCTTGTATTCCCCTAGGGAGTCCCATGAGGCATCATCACAAAGAACGTCAGCGAGTACAAGTTGTTCAATACAATTCACAGATACATCCAACCCTTCCAGAGCTCAGGTATGTTTTCTCAGAATTGTAAAAGCAAATCAGACAGTTGGGAAAATCACATTAAATAATTTGATGTGATCTTTCAACAGGGCTTCAAATATATCATCTTATAGAACATGCTACATTCTAACAATTAACTGCTTTTTTTGTGTAGATGCCCTTAGGGTCTGAAAATGGTGCACCATCCAGGTTGTCGACTTCACTGTAAGGCACTTATTTAGCCTATTATTGAATCACTATTGAGTGTATAGCTTATTGCTTAAAAAAGCTGTACCTGCCTCTCATTATGTTCCTCTAGGAAGTCTCTTGAATCATCACAAAGCATGTCCTCGGGCTCTGAAATATTCACAGATTCATCAAACTCTTCCAATGATCAGGTATTATTAGCTATATTCAAATACTCTATATGCGGAGAGGGCAACAGAATGTTTGTGTAATTATTAAAGAGAATACAACGTCATAATCAGAGCACAGTTCAAAATGTTGAATCTATGTGTTTATCTTATCCTTTAAGCATGCTGTCAAAAAGAAGACATCCACCCCGTCAAGGTATATATACTGTAAAAATAAATCTCTGCCAATTATTGATCTACCATCAAGAACCCTTTTTTCCTAAATAATAGTGGTGATCTCGACAGGTTTACTTCAGACTTTGATCCCATTGAGTATCTTGGCAGTGGAGCCTACGGTTCGGTTTACAAAGCAAGGCGTAAACTAGAGGAGAAGTATTATGCTGTAAAGATTGTACGCAGTGACAAGTAAGTATGCAGTAAGTTTCAACTGTGCATTATGCAGTATGTATGTAAATATGTTGTTTACTGATTCCATGGTTCTTCTCCTTTGGATCAGGAAAGCTTTTCGAGAGGTGGGGACATTATCAGACCTCCTCCACCATAATGTCATAAGATACTTCAATTGTTGGATCGAGGATACAAGATACGAAGACGGCACCTCAGCTGGAAGCTCAGCTGGCGGTTACAGCGATGCCCAGTAATGTCCACGTCCTAACCTTAAACAGGCGATATATATATATATATAGCATTTAAAGCATATCTTTCATTCAGAGTCAGGGCCAGGAATACCTGAACACAGCTCTCGACATGGGGATGGTTGAGCAGACGGCTAGCTGCTAATGGTGCTAACATCATTAGCAGTACATACTACGGCAAAGGAGCTGACAGAGCTAACAAAGAGGGAAAGTGGAGGGTGGGTGTAACGCTTCCATGTTGGGACTGTACACTGTATACAGTCTATGGTTGGGAAACCTTTATCAGAGATAACGTAAGTCCATAGATAACAGGTACTAACAGGCACTCGTAGCTATCCCAGCAATAAACCAAAGAACAGAGAAGCTCGGATTACAACACACAGAGAAGAGACATTACATTACATGTTAGACGCTTTTATCCAAAGCGACTTACATACTCAATACTGTGGGCAATCCCCACAGGAGCAATTTGGGGTGAAGTGTCTTGCCCAGGGACACAACGACATGCTGACTGCAGTGGGGTTTGAACCTGTGCTCCCCTGATCCGAACACCAACGCACTACTCCACTGCGCCACACACCTCCCCTTATATTACCTTATATTGCTCATTACTATATCTTATCATTTCAAATAGTATTTTACTGCTATATTCAATATTCTGAATTGTGTATAGGCCTATATAACATTCAAGTCTACCTTTTAAGTCAGAGGAGAGTATTTTTATAAAAAAATTTCTTCTGTCTTTCTAGGTCTACAGATGATCCATCTGTAAAGTACCTCTATATTCAGATGGAGTTATGCAAAAGGAAAACACTTAAGGAATGGATTAATGAGAAGAACACTCAGTCTCCGCAAGACACAAAGAGAAGACAAGAAAGTCTAACCATTGCTCAGCAAATAGTCAGTGGAGTTGAATATATTCACTCAAGGCGGCACATCCACAGAGACCTAAAGGTGAGACCAGACTGCAGTGTAACAAAATAATTGGTAGAATAACAAGCCATTGTTAGGTGACCAACATTTTAGAATAAGCCAGGCCTAAAGCATATGCTGCTGCAAATGGCATCATAATTTACTAAATGAACATCATTCTGTGTTGAAGAAGACTTAAAACTAGCAATCTAATCCATAAAGTCATCAGGAATATATTTACTGAGGTAGTACATCAATGCGAAGCAGGCTAATTTTTCTATGAACTTCTATACAATCAGACCTCTCTTGGAAACCAGTGATCCTTGTGCAGTCCAGTCATAAAGATGCTAGGGTACTAGGTTTGCCTCTCAACAACAATAACACCATGATTATTTTTAAAACTATTAGGCAAGATCCTGCCCCAAAATGCTCGAAGCACAAGACATTATTTTTGCTAGAAGCTTCAGTTCACCTAATATTACATGTGAATAGTCATTTAAATTAGAATGAGAATAAAAGTAATACAATCTTTTACTCCCTGCTTTGATCGTCTAAAGGGAAAAATCTATCAGACAGAAAAATGCAACAAGAATGATAAAGAATGTTGGGAGGATCATTCGTGATTAGCAGAAGCCTAAAGATATCTTATCAGATTGAACACTCTTCTGAATGTGACCCACATGTGGTTAAAGATAGAATGCTGGTTTAGCCCTTAAGTACTGTTTTTCAAGCTTCTAATTTTCTTCCTTATGTGTTAATTTGTTTCAATTGTTTTTCTTTCTGTGAAGCCTGACAACATCCTGTTTGGACTGGATGATAAAGAAGTGAAGATTGGTGACTTTGGTCTGGTCACCAGAGATGATGACGCTTTGATGGACAGAACAGAGAACAGAGGAACCAGATCGTACATGGCCCCTGAACAAGTGAGATGATCTATTCTGGCAAAAACTCTTAATTCTTCTGTATTCATTTGAACAAATATGTCCTTCGACTGGTTTTAATTAGGTGGACTAATTATTTTCAACTATACCTTTAGTAACTATTACTATATATGCCTAGCACAATAGAGCGGTGCAGGAAAGACTCCTAAAACCTGCAAATTAGTTTGCTTTTTACCATTTCCGGTTCCCTCGCCTCGAAGTAAAAAAATGTTGAACATGTCAAAGATTCCTGAAATCAGGTCTGTGGTTAACACAAACTGAAAATATGTTTACGTTTTGTTCTACGACAGAAAATACATCAGTAAATTCCCCACTGGTGAAGGTTGAAAGCTTGTACTGTATGTGTCATAGAGATGGTGGTTGCTAACAAGTAACTAGACTTTATCACGAGTCCTCCTTCAGCTGAGCGGAGGTGACACTAAGCAAAAATCACATTGCTTTTGTTGAGGAAGCCCTTGCGATGCTCACATTTGGATGGGCCTACGGAAATACAACATCACTGCACCACTCTATGCTCTATTGTTTATTTAGCGCAGCCAAACCTTTTCTTACTGTTGGCAGTGAGAGCTGTACAATGAAATATCAGAATCAGAATACCTTTATTCATCCAACAGAGGGGAAATGTACATTTGTTACAGCAGGTAAAGAGCCAAAGGTAGCTGAATATGAATTAAGAAGTAATTCATAAAAATATGAAAGATAAAGTAGAAATTACACATCTTACTAAATACGAATCCAGTACCAGTTACAGTTTTGAGATAACAGCCAGTTGATTGATAGTATTAAAGGTGAAAGTAAAATATGTAAGAACTTTATTGCCAATAGAACAAACTGTGAATTAAGTGTATCTACAAACATAAGCCATGAAACAGAACTTGAAGCCAAAACTTCATTTACTTAATTAGCATGACTTGCTAATCTTTCCCTATGAGTTATATTAGTATAACATCAGGCAATTCTGTGTTTTTATTATTTCACAAAAGGTGGGGAAGACATATGATCGAAAAGTGGACATATTTGCTCTGGGGTTGATATACTTGGAACTCCTGTGGAAAGTCTCTTCTGGCCATGAAAGAGGAGAGGTGAAGTATACAGACAAAGACTTGCCGCAAGAATGTTACAATCATTTGTCGGCTTTTCTCTTCTTGTGTGCAACATTCAACTCAATTGTTGTTGAATCATTCGTTTGATTCAGGCTAACTAACATGTTCTTTCATCCTTTTATCACTGCATGAATACCAGGTTTTACAACATGCAAGAAAACAGATTCTCCCGACAGACTTTTCACGGGCCTTCCAAGAAGAGGTATATTACAATGTTCTTATTATCAATTATTATCTGCAGTAAATTAGTTCCCACATGAGGCAGTACTTTTTTACACAGTTTTGCCCCGTTACAACAGCTGTCCATCTCTATAGCTGGGGGAGTTAAACAGAACTGCTGCTGTTTATACTAATAACAAGCAGAACAAATACAAGTATTTTACAAGATATCAATCTCAGTTGTTTTGTTTGAAACGTTGTAGCATGGCAACACAATAGTGTTTGTAGACAGATCTCAGTTAAAGGTGTTGTTTTTTGCAGAACCTAATCATCAAGAAAATGCTGCATGAGAAGCCAGAGGTGCGACCTCAAGCAAGTGATCTGAAGGAACAGCTGGACAAGTTGGCTCAGACAGAAAATGAGCCTCAGAAAAGGGCAACTGTGTGATTATCACAACGAATTGTGACAAGTCTTATGAGGGTAATGAGATCTGTCTGTCATCTGATGAACATATTTGATATACTGTTTAGGTGATGTTATTAATATTTATTGACGGATGGTTAATGTACTGCACTTAAACAGTGATTTATCTGAACTTCAACTTAGCACTGTCCTGTATGCACTTACAGGAGTTCAAATCATTTACCATGCAAATTAAAAATGATGGGTCTAATAATCAAAGATTGGAATGGGAAATCCAATTGTATCATCATTTTAGTAACTCACATATTTCACATCTGTCCAGCTGTTTTAAATAATCATGTGCTGGTTATTTCTGTGTCAACAGTTGACATTGTATTCAATGCTGGGATGGTCAAATGTATGTATTACATCTTTTGTTTTGTACTAAATATGTTAAGTTTGAGAATAAAATAATGGTAAAAAATATGGGTGACAAATATCATGCATGAGTTAGCCAAAACAAACAGCAGCTTTTTTGTATTACTATATCTTATAATCTCTCACGAAAGACTTCCCTTCTGTTTTTAAATTAGATTTGACATGTATTTAGTTTTAACAAATAATCATGTCCTGGCTAATTACTTTGGCAGTATGCATTCCAAAAGTATATACATATAGACATCTCTATTTCTCTCCACGTGTTTGATTGTTGTGACACATTTCAAGGGCTCTAATATCATCATGATTTGAGATGTAGCAGGAATGGTAATGTGGACTCATTCCTAGGACCAATGTGTGTGAAAGGGGTCTTTATGTGGGTATTTCGTGCAATAAGTAGCACGTTCCTTTTATGTAGTTTACATGTTAAACTTGAACGTCATAGGTCAGAGGCTTTTAGCACAATCAACTACCTAGCATACTATCGAGGTTCCGGTGACCTTTTTTCAGTGCTCAGTAAACTGTACTGAGTTGTTGTGTTAGCTGCATCATGTACTGAAATGTTCTCCATGGTTGGAGAATTGCCACTACTACCAAGATGGTAACTTGGTCAAGTCAGCATTGTAAAGCTCCCACCAGGATTTGAACCTGGCATTTCTATAATTTGTTACAATTACACACATATTAGTTTAGGAAAAGCTGCACCTACATGCTCCACCAGCTCCACCAAATCATTTCACACTGGCCTAAGTAGGTTCCTTAGTGTTGCACATTAAAAATCAAAGCCTTGCCAATAAAAGTGTTAACATCACAATCGCACACACACATTTAACCACCATCTATATATGTGTCATTTGGCTGACATGACAACATTCATGTAACAACAACAAACTTTCCAAACCTGCCTAACCTGTGCCCAACCCCACAGCCAGGTACTGGGCATGGCCGTTGTGGCTATGGCAAGAGTCATACTGAGACAGTGGGTGCATAAACCAACAATAAACCCTGTGTGTAAGGGATTGTGTCAGCAGTCTTGTGTAAGTTAGGTTAACATTTATTGTGTAAGATAGGGTGTGTAAGTTAGGTTAAAAGGTCTTGTGTAAGATAGGGTGTGTAAATTAGGTTCAAATGTCTTGTGTAAGTTAGGTTAAAACATCTTTTACGAGTGGTGCCAAGTTTGGGGTTTTTGGTGTATTTATAAAGCAGTGACATTCAATAAATCAATGGACATTAATTTAAGAGTAAAGTATGTACAGTAGGAAAGCAGATGTCAGGTTAGAATAAATGCAATGAGATGTATAATGAAATAAAATATCTAAACGTAATAAACAAACGATCAAATCCAAAACGTCAATGTACCTAAATCAGGTGCCACACATTTAATATATAATAAATATACATATAACAGTGTAGGTTTTGTTGTTTGTCTGGATTCATGTATCCGTATTGTCAAGCCACGTAACGTTATGACGTTTACTGTAAAACGAGGAAATCGAAACTCAGCTGTATCCAAAGTCAGCTGAATCGAAGCATCAAGGATATTATGCAGGATACATACTGCAGCAAAAATAGAACAAAATGGGAAACCAAAGAGCTGCTGTGAGAGGTGTACTTCGATCTTATCGTTTTATGTAATTTAGGATCGAATTCTGACGTAATTTAAGATGGAAAGTGTAAGTGCTGTTTCCAGACTGAATGAGTACGCACAGAAAAAAAAGTTTTTACTTCAATATGAGGACCTTGGCTTTGGTGGCCCAAACCGTGATAAACAGTAAGTTTAATAACATTTCTGGTACCCGTGAGTTATGCTTAAGTCTTCCTGTGTAGCTACAGTATATTATTCTGTCGGAACGGTAGTGGTTCAATATCAAGGTTATTGGACTTCTCAAAGAAAAAAAACTCCTTAAAGAATCATTAAACTACGTTTGGGTTGGTCTACATTGGTAAGATCAGCGCCGTATAGATAGAATAACATCTTGAGACTTTTGAAAGTGCCATACAGTATGTTTATCCGGGGCCGTTTGGAAGTAAATCTGTGTATCATCGGCATATGTGTGGAAGTTGATGTTATGGCTCCTCAGTATTTGTCCCAGGGGCAACATGTAAATTAAAAAGAGCAGTATATAAGGACGTATACAGTATACATAATATGTTTTTTAGTGATTCTACAATTTAGGGTACATTCCATGTCCATTGATGTCCATTGATGATAATTATAATTATTCCAACTATTTTCTTCAAAAATATCATATTTTGCCTATTATTGGAAAGCATGTTATAATATCACACAAACATTATGTGCATCCTATGCTTTATTTACCTTGAAATGTGTCATGATGTTCTTAAATTGTCAGTTTTTGCTCTGTCCGTTTTTCAGTTGAGGGTGTCTTGGTTTCAAAATAATGAATAAAAACCATTAAAGTAAATAAAAAAAAGTATTCATTTATTTCAAAAGTCTAAATACTAAAGAATAATAACATATTTTTAATTGATTTCCTCCTTTAAATAATTTAAATATCTTAATATATGAATGTCCGCAAAAGTTCTGTCAACTATGTTACTAACAGAACTTCCCCATTTAACTCAAAAATGGTTTGTCCCAATACCATGTCACCAGCATCACATGATGCCATGTTCCTCTTTGGCAGACATTTTGAACACACTGTGGTGATTGTCCTCTAATTTTTTACAATATTTTATGTATAATAGCACATGGTCAATTAATATACTCATTGACAATCAACAATGTTACGTACATTGTTATGGTTTACAATTGTTTAATGATTTTAATTCAATTATATGTTCAAATGTGATGTTAACCTGTTCAAGAAAATGACATGTGGTCATCCAAGCAAGGCCTACCATTGAAATGATGGGTCAAAATAGGGAAATTGTCAACTAGGTTACCTGTCAACTAAGTTACCCAGTACTGTAATAACTGTAGTAACAGTTATTACATTTATATAAAATAAAATAAAAAAATGTTTAAGCTTTGCAACCAGTGGATATGTTACACTGAGGAATATACTAACTTGAACCACTGATTGTTCTATTGAGAAAGAACACTTTCTTTGTACTGTTTTGTTGATGTGAAATGCACCCTAAATTATAGAATCACATATATATATATTTGTAATTGACTGTATTTCCCTGAAGTAATTTTCCTGATAGTAGCCAATTCAATTGAGATCATTTTAAAGCAGTCGCCCATATTTTTTATGGGGCTTAAAGGAGTAGAGTAAATTAGGCATAAATGATTGCTCACAATTTACAACATGGATGGTTACTAGTGTGCAGAATCAACTGATTTAATGCACCCCAACCCCACAAACATTATTTAAATAAATGAATAACATAATGTTTGACAATTGCTCTACAGATTCACCCAGAGGGTAGTCCTGAATGGTAAAGTCTATCCTGAAGGTGTGGGGAAGACGAAAAAGGAAGCCAAGCAAGATGCTGCTAAAAATGCCCTGAGAGACTTGTCAGAGTGCACACATCAGGTATGAGTTGCGACAGTAAGATTTTCCGTCCTCTATTTTTAACAAGCCCCTATTATTAAAGGTAAAATACCAATCATAGGCCTAAACATCTGCTGTAGGGTGTGACATAGCATTTTTGTTCTCCAGACTGCAGTTGAGAATTACAACCCAGCTCAACAAAAGCAGGAACCAAATCAAAATTATTCTGATATCTGGTGAGTAAATCACAAAGCCAGTGCAATGTTTTATTTTCATGTCTTCATCTGTGTTAAATGTCTCTTGTTTATTACAGTAATAAGACAAGAAGCCTCAGTGTCAACTCTCAGGACAACAGCTCTGAACATAATTTCATTGGATTAGTTGACCACTACTGTCAGAAAAAAAACCACCACTATACATTCATCGAAGACAAAAGATTGGGACCAGCCCATGAGCCTCAGTAAGAACCTGAACTTCTGTAACCTGAATAGACACTAAAGTCATTCAATGCTAACTCTTCATTGATTTCCTGTTCTAAACAACATTTTTTCAAAAAAACACAGATATTCCTACAAATTAACAATCAACGGCAAGAAGTATCCTGTGGCTGAGGGAAGGACTAAAAAGGAAGCCAAACAAAATGCAGCTAAACTCGCCTGGTTTGACCTTCAAGAGCAGTCAGACTGGGACAGCAAGGTATTTTATATTGTGTACTTCTTTAAATCCTCAAAAATCCTCAATTGAAGTTTAATAGGTCCACTCCACAATATAATATTATATATATTATAAAATAGTTTAATACAACGGTGATAGCAAGGTGTACTTAACTGGAAGCTAAGGGTAGTTAAGCAGAAAAGTAGTGGTTTAATTTCCCTAAAGCTGCATTCACATGGTACACAATTTTCTCTTTGCTCACCGCGAAGTTGGGCACAGATCTTTGCAGTGAAAACTGTTAGTTAAGTTTATTTTATACGGCTGTCATCAGGTTGGTTGTGTGTCAAACGGTTAGCAGTAAATTAGGTTATAGTTGAAATCATTTTAACTTTGAGCGCATCGCTGAAAACTATTTACGGGTGGTGCCCGATGCCGAGGGGAGCACTTCCTCCTGGTGGGGCGGCACTGCCTTTTCCATAGAAACACAACGGCAACATCAGTGCAAAGCCTTTTTACTGCTGGTGCTGTGAAAGCAGCTTAATGCTCTCAGAGACCATATACAAGTCAGCCCTTTAAATTAAACATACAAGCAAGGCATTTCATTTGTTCTGTTTGATGGATTTAATGTATTGTATAGCCTCTTTTCTTCTGATAATGTCTAATGTTATGTCAAACCCCTTCTCTTTCATTTTAGGTGTCCATCAGATCAACAGTGTCTGAAGGTGGTGCACTGCCTGTGTTGTCAACGCCATCAACTCCCCTGTAAAGCACTTACTCTGAATTCACACCTGGGAGTGGTAAAGTGCTGACTGTGGCAAGCATTCATGCGTAAAGCTGCGCGTGCCGCTCCAACCTCAGCTTTTGAGAATTTGCAGCAAAGTTGGGGATAGTTTAACTTTTTGCGGGCTAGTGTGGCTGGAATGTTCAGGCAGCAAACCCTAATGCATTGATCTAAAACAAAATGGAGGATGCATTTTCAGTTCACATTGGAATGATTTGTCCGCCAGTGGCTCAGTCAGTAGGGGCTTGGACTGTGGAGAGGGTCCCAGTTCCCCTCCTGAGCCATGCTGTGGTCCCCTTGAGCAAGACACCGGACTTCCCCCCCACTCCCCATTGCTCCCCGGGCGCTGTACAATCCTAGTTCTTAGATGGGTTAAATGCAGAGGTGAAATGTCACTTTGTGTGCTGTGTGCATGTATGTGTGACTATTACATATGGTTTCATCCTCCTCTTCTATATTTATTAGTGACACATAGTGACAGAAATAAATAGCCTCACACCCGCAGAAACATTTAGTTATTGCTGCAAGAGGCACTTCGCTGCTCCCCTGTATGAATTTTGCATTATTGCCATTGGTATGAAAGCAGAACATGGAGTGAAATACTAAGAAGGCTTTACTCATGTCTGTCCTTGTATTCCCCTAGGGGTTCGTATGAGGCATCGTCACAAAGAACGTCAACAAGTACAAGTCCCTCAATAACATTCGAAGATTCAACAAACCCTTCCCAAGCTCAGGTCTGTTTTTCCAGCATCTGACCGTGGTGACATTCAATAATAAACATGATGTTGAAAAGGGCTCCAAGAGGTACATTATTTGATTTGGAACATGCTACATTCTAACAATTATCTTTTTTTTTGTATAGATGCCCTTAGAGTCTGAAAGTGATACCCCAACCAGGTTGTCAAATTCACTGTAAGGCACTTATTTATCCTATTATTGAAACAGATTGTATAGCTTAACGCTGGAAAGCTGTAACAATGCCTCTCATTATGTTCTTTAGAGAGTCTATTTCATCGTCACAAAGCATGTCCACGAGTACAAGTGGCTCTGGAATATTCACAGATTCATCAAACTCTTCCAAGGATCAGGTATGTTCTTTATACCACAATCTTTTTTGATTAGATTTTATTATATGTCTTACAAGACAGATATAACAAGTTAAACAGCCTATGCTGGAACACATGCATGCACATGGCCTTGCATCAGTACATGGTTTTAATCCAAAACATATATATTTTGTTGTTATTATTTATTTTGTTTAATTTTTTAACACTGTTTAGCTGGAGTTAGAGCTACATCTATGTTCAATATCTCAGACTGTATTTCCAAGTACATCCCAGTGGGCCTTAACAGCTGAGAATAGAGGACCATACCGAATTTACAAGGGTGCACACCTCCCCTCAAAACTATGGCAGCATAAGCCTGAGAGGGTTTGATTCATCTTTTTAAGTGTAAAGTGGGTGATGTATACTCTGCAGTATTTTATAACACATTTGGACAGTGATACTGAGTTCCAAAGGTTTTCCCGCTTGCTTCTTTGTACTTCTACCCCACTACATCCAGAGGTGTCAGGGTTGGGGGTTATCAGGACCCAAATGCAGAATGAGGAGAAGAGGTGCAAAGTATAACAAAAAGCTAGCTTTATTTAACAAAAGCTGTTGACAATGAACAAACAAGAAAAAACCTAAAATCCATAAACCAGTAGCACGAGGAAGCATCCAGACAAAAACCGACAGGGACAAACATGGAGGTGCAAGGAAGACAACGACCGAACATGGAGCAAAGGGGAAAACAAGACTAAATACACAGAAGGGTAATCACAGGACAAGACACAGCTGGGCAGGGGAGGCAGAAACACAAGGGCAACAGGTGAACACAATGAGGCAATCAGACACAGGAGGGCAAACACAGGAAGGAAGACCAGACACAGGGAGAACAGAAATTCAAAATAAGACCGGAAACTAAACACACAAAACTAAAATCATGACAAGAGGTAAAAGTGTACTTCTACATTTATGTATTACCTTTAGTTACTTTACATATTTGAATTAATAATGTGAAATGTAAACAACACTTAAATAAGACTTTAGTTACACCTGGAGTAAATTCACAAGCTACCCTGCAGTATACAAAGTCATTAAAAATAGCTTTTACCAGCTTTGATAACACTAATCAGAATCATCAGAATAATCAGAATCAGAATGCAGCAATGATTATAATTAAAACATATAATATATACTATTCTGAAATGGGCCAATGTGCACAATGAGTACTTTTACTTTAGGTACTTTAAGTATATGTTCATGCTAATACTTTAGTACTTTTACTTGAGTAACATTTTGAATGCAGGACTTTTACTTGTAACAGAGTACTCCTACACTTTGGTACTTTTACTTAGGTACAAGTTCATAGTACTTCTCCCACCTCTGTCAGAATCTGTGAAAAACTGTGAAAGCTGCTTACTCTGTAGAGGGCAAAATAATAATAGTGTTATTATTAAAGAGTATACAACAATGAGAGCAGGGCACCAAATGTTGACTCTATGTTATTCTTTTGTCCTCTAAGCATCCTGTCAAAGACAAGATCATAGGAAATACTGAAAATCAGACATCCACCCTTTCAAGGTATGAAAAGAACCCTCCTAAATATCTCTCCCAACAATTGCTGTACAATCAAGAACCCTTTTGCCTAAACAAAAGTGTTGATCTCGACAGGTTTACTTCAGAATTTGATATCACTGAGTGTCTTGGAAAAGGGGCCTACGGTTGTGTTTACGCAGCAAGAGACAAACGGCTGAAACAGGGTTATGCTGTAAAGATTGTCCGCAGTAACGAGTAAGTATGCAGTAGTACAGATCAACTGTGCATTATGCTGTATGTATGCAAATACTTTGATTACTGATTCCATTGTTGTTCTCATTTGGATCAGGAAAGCTCTTCGAGAGGTGGGGACATTGTCAAAGCTTCTCCACTGTAACATCGTCAGATACTACACATTTTGGATGGAGGATTCAATATACCAAGATCACACTACAGCTGGAAACTCAGCTGGCAGTTTCAGCTCTTCCCAGTAAGTCCAATACACTAACCTGGATCAGGCTATAGACAGCATGCAAAGCATAACTTTGATTCAAGGCTGGGCCACGACTACCTGCACATGGCTCATAAAGCATAAACACAAGCAAAACATAAAAAGAAGAAGTGTCTTTATCAAAAAGAGAGTCATATTATCATGTTTCTCTCTCTTTTCTTAGGTCTATAGAGGATCCATCAGCAAAGTACCTCTATATTCAGATGGAGTTATGCAAAACAAAAACCCTTAAGAAGTGGATAAATGAGAAGAACGCTCAGTCTCTGCAAGACTCCAAGAGAAGACAAGAAAGTGTAGCCATTGCTCAGCAAATAGTCAGTGGAGTCGAATATATTCACCGCAAGGGGCACATCCACAGAGACCTAAAGGTGAGACTCTGCCGTGTATATCTGAGGCAAATGTTGATATAGACTCTACCTATATGGTACATAGGGTTTTCTCTTTGTGCCTTGAAATCAACTACACAAACATTAGGCTATTAATTGATCAATACAGACCAATTTATTGACCCAATACAAGCAAGCACTGCTTAGATATGTAATGCTGGTTTGAACCTTACCTACCTTTTCAAATCCATTTTGAACTCTTAGGTTCACTTTATAATGTGTTAATGCCTTTTGTGTGGGCTAGGTTTAAATTATTTTACTCCTGTTTTTCTTAATAATGGTAAGCCTGAAAACATCCTGTTTGGAGTGGATGGAGAAGTGAAGATCGGCGACTTTGGTATGGTCACCAAAGATGATGATGATGATGATGACACCGCTTTAATGGAGAGAACTGGACTCAGAGGAACATCGACTTACATGGCTCCTGAGCAAGTGAGATGGACTGATAATAACTTTTAATTATTCTTTATTGTTGTCTTAACAAATGTGTTCTTCTCTTTGGCTAAGGTAGGCTACCTTTATGCCTACCACCGTTAACGATGCTCCCAAATTTCTCATCTTCATCTGTCTTTACTATTTGCAATTCTTATCACAGATAACGGGGAAGACCTATGACCGAAAAGTGGACATATTTGCTCTGGGGTTGATATACTTTGAACTCCTTTGGAAACTCTCTACTGGCCACGAAAGAGGAGTGGTGAGTCTTTCCTGTGTGTGTTGTGTGTTACATTTTTCCAATTTGATAAATAACTTGCCACAACAATTTCACCATATTGTGTAGGATAATGTTTATCATGTACAAATAAATGAATATGAAATACCAGTAGATTACTTATCAGTGTGTAGCAAAATCAGTGTACTATAGATAGCAGATAGGATGGAACGATATCATTTATCTTCTAATACATCTTGTTAAATGTTTTATTGTATTGATTTGTTCTTTGTTATTTATCCTTGTATCACTTTATGAATACCAGGTTTGGAATGATGCCAGAAGTCAGAAGCTCCCTGAAGAGTTTTCACTGACTTTTGCCAAAGAGGTAAATTAACATATTGTTATTACAGGCCTACTGTACTTCAAGTCATGAGGCTTTTAACTTTAATATTTGGTTGCAGCTTCTCAAACATAAGGATTTGCTGATGTTTATATTAATAATTGGAATTGATTTATTTTTATATATACAATTTTGAGGTTGTGAAAATTGGTTGAACCAAACCAATGATTTAAAGGTCTCACTTTAGAAAATAAAAAATCTGTCCATCAATGGTGAAAATAATCAGCAGATCAATTAATAATGAAAATACCAATTAGCCGCGTTCCTTCAAAAAACATTTACTTAAATAAGAGTTTCAATGCAGAACTTGAGTAATATACTTAATGGACTGCTTTAACAGTGTGGTATTATTATTCTTTCTTTAGTAAAGGATCTGAATAGTTCCTCCCCCACTCATTAGGAGTCACAACAGAACGGCCGCTGTCTGTATGTAACAGATAACTGGTTCTAGAAAATATCATTCTCTATGTCAGAAATACTGTTGAGTAGTGCTTCAACAATAATGTAGACAACATAACATTATTGGTTCAAAGATCTCAGTAGAATTGTCTTTTGCAGAACGAAATCATCAAGTTAATGCTGCGTGAGAAGCCAGAAGACCGTCCTGAAGCAAGTAAACTAACGGCAGAGCTGAAAAAATGGGCTCAGACACAAAATATGGATCAGGAAAGGGCTACAGTCTAATCATCTGGAGATCTCTCTGTTCGATGTCTGTCATAGGATAAAATGATTTTATTTGTTATAAATATATGTAGAGAAATGGTTAAGGGATTGACTGCACTTCTCTGGCACTTTATCTGAACTTTAATTAAAAAAGGGACACTATATGCTCATTTTCAGGTTTCATATTTGTATTTTGTGCCTTTATGTGTTAACATGCTTTAATCTTGAAAAATATATTTATTTTTCTCATACTGCCTGCGTTGCAGCACCTCTTTTCACCCTCTGTCTGAAACCAGAGCCCAGTCTGCTCTGATTGGTTAGCTGGCCGCTGTTGTGAATGGTCAACCGCTTTGAGATGTCCCGCCCCTCAGCCTAAAGCGTACAATGTGTTGGCGTGTTAGTCAATAGAACTGCGAGTGTTACATAGTGATGTCATTATGTTACGGAAGTAAACAAAGGGGGTCCAATCAAGGCGTGTGTTGGAGAGAAACTCCCTCAGATCATTTACATGCACATACAGTACCAGTCAAAAGTTTGGACACACCTTCTCATTCGAAGGTTTTTATTTATTTTAATTTGTTTACATTGTAAATGAATACTGAAGACATCAAAACTATGAAAGAACACATATGGAATGTGAATATGTTTTATATTTTTTGATTATTCAAAGTAGCTCCCTTTTGCCTTGATGACAGCTTTGCACACTCTTGGCTTCTCTCAGTCAGATTCATGAAGTCGTCACATGGAATGGTTTTCCAACCGTCTTGAAGGACTTCCCAGAGGTGCTGAGCACTTGTTGGCTGCTTTTCCAGCACTCAGCGGTCCAACTGATCCCAAACCATCTCAATTGGGTTACGGTTTGGTGATTGTGGAGGCCAGGTCATCTGACGCAGCACACATTACTTTCCTTCTTAATCAAACAGCCCTCACATAGCCTGGAGGTGTGTTTGGGGTCATTGAGTTGTTCAAAAACAAATGATGGTCCCAGTAAGCGCAAACCAGATGGGATGGCATGGTGCTGCAGAATGCTGTGGTAGCCATGCTGGTTAACTGTGCCTTGAATTCTGAATAAATCACCAACAGTGACACCAGCAAACCCCCCCCCCCCCCCCATCACACTTCCTCCTCCATGCTTCACGGTGGAACCACACATGCAGAAACCATCCGCTCACCTTCTCTGCATCTCACAAAGACACAGCGGTTGGAACCAAAAATCTCAAATTTGGGGTCTGATGTCCATTCTTTGTGTTTCTTGGCCCAAACAATTCTCTTCTTCTTGTTGTTCATCCTCAGTAGTGGCTTCTTTGCAGCAATTGGACCATGAAGGCCTGATTCACGCAGTCTCCTTTGAACAGTGAATGTTGAGATTTGTCTGCGACTTGAGCTCTGGAAAGAATTTATGTGGGCTCTAATCTGAGGTGCTTTAATGTGTGGTTTCTGAGGCTGGTAACTCTGATGTATTTATCCTCTGCAGCAGTGGTAACTCTTGCTCTTCCTTTCCCGGGGGGGTCCTCATGAGAGCCAGTTTCATCATAGTGTTCGATGGTTTTTGCGACTGCATGTGAGGATACATTCAAAGTTCTTGAAATGTTACGGATCGACTGACCTTCATTTCTAGGAGGGTAATGATGGACGGTCGTTTCTCTTTACTGAGTTGAGTGGTCTTGCCATATTATGGATTACAACAGTAGTCAAATAGGGCTCTCCACTGTGCACTAACCCTACTGTACCTCTGCACAACACAACTGATGGTCTCAAACACATAGGCCCCGCTCACACGGGAATGTTTGCGTTTATGCACAGTATGCGTATTCAAAAAAGTCTTCCGTTCACATGCATTCGTTTCATTTAACGTGTCTGTTCAAACGAGGCCGCTGGAAACGCTGTAGTACATATGCCGGGACTGTAAGTGGCGCTGTAACTTCTGCCAAAATACACCAAAAGCAGCGAAGAAGGGCAGCCCAGCAGCCCCGCCGCAATGTTGCCATGGCTACCCTTCTGTTCATGCCCCGCGGTGTATTTAGCAACATGTAGTTCATGTAATTCTCCATGTCCACTTGTTGCTGATGGTTGTGGTAGAGGAGCTGTATATTTTTGCACTAATATCTGTAGCATGGTCAGTAGCAGTAGCACTAGCAGTAGCTACTGACAGGAGGAAGTGTGTGTGGCGATTGCTGGTATTCAGCGGGATATAGTAATTTCCTCAGCATATGGATAAATGCAACGGGGAAGTTAACTGAAAGAAACCGAATCTGTGGATATTGCATCGACCGACCAAGAAGCACGTCTCCGTGGAGAGGACCCGCTCAGAAAGAGAGATATTCTCTACAAACACCGGGTGAGATCCTCCTTTGTCAATATAATGGATCAATGCATGAAATCTGACTCTGTTTATTTTGTTTAAGGAGTATATTGGGCGTTAACAATTCTGGTTTGCCTTTTATAATATTATTTCATTCAAGAACCCCTTGTGCGTTTAATTAACACAGCTATTTTTGATAGTTGCTACAGCAGTGAGCAGGAGAGGTGGGGCTATCGTTATTTTTTCAGGAAATATTCGTATCGAGGTGATTACACGGACTCGGTTGACCCCCCAGAGCGTTTCGTTTGCAAATCTATCCACCTTGGGACCCGTTATCGTTTGTGGGGTCAGTTTCTATCGGCCTCGTGTAAATAATAGGGCTATACGCACGCGAAACTATGCAGATACAAGCCGTTTTCTCCTCGTGTAAACGGCGCCTAAGAAGGGAAGTAATTCCACAAATGAACTCTTGACAAGGCACACGTGTTAATTGAAAACCATTCCAGGTGACAACCTCACCAAGAGTGTGCAAAGCTGTCATCAAGGCAAAAGGGGGCTACTTTGAAGAATATAAAATATAAATCATATTCTGGATTGTTTAACACTTTTTTGTTTACTATCACATCTTTCATAGTTTTGATGTCTTCGGTATTAATTAATGTAAAAAATAATTGGTGTGAGAAGGTGTGTCTAAACTTTTGACTGGTAGGCCTACTGTAAACCTATACAGTAGTATAAAACTACAGGAAAGGGAAAAACCCCCAAAGCAGAATATTGCCCCCTTACCTAATATTGTGGGTTTTACAAATGAAATGTGAAATTCAATATTACCATTATTTTAAAAAGTAACTCACATATTATTCACATTTTTCCAACTGTTCTAAATAATCATGTGCTTGTCACTTTCTGTGTCTACTGTTTACATTTTATTAAATGCTGGAGATAGTCACATGTTTTGTACTGAATATGTAACGTTTCGAAATAAAAGAAAATGTATTTGGGTAAGAATGGTCATGCATCTACATTGAAATGTACAAGCACACACACTGTACTGTAGTAGTATTTTTCAATTATTCATGCACTGTCGTAGATAGAATCAAAGAAGATGACTTTTGAAATACAAAGGCAAAATTAAAACATTTTGGAAAAGGCAGTATATTAATTATCCAGTAGTAGGCGGTAATGCAATACTCGGATGCCAACCGCCTCTAAAAATCCCAAAAGAAGAAGAACAAGGAAATGGATGCAGCCAATGGCTAGGTTCGGGAGAAAAGGGCGGAGGTTTAAATCTCTGAGTTGAGGATCATGTTAGTCAGTGGTCGTTTGGCAGAAGACTACGTGCATCGGTGATTGTATTGTGCACCAAGGGTTTAAAAATGGGGAAAACGAAAAACTTCGTAGCACAACTGAAGAAACAAGCACGGAAAGCACGCTGGGAGTTAAAATATGAAGACGAGTGCTCTGAGGAACCTGAGCCCAATAAAAGGTGACTTAAGCTAAAACTGCTATGCTTGCTAGCTTCTTCGAAAGTTCTCGAAGCTACTGGGAGCTTCTGTTATGGAAAGTGTAGCATTTACCCAACATGGTCTTGCCAAACCAACTTCAACGTGTTGTTTACATGTAAAGTGTTTACTCTCGATGTAAGGGCATACTTCTGGATGTACTGTCACGTGTAAGAGGTTTTATCCTATGGGTATGGACTGCGATCAACTCAGTCGTCTCTCGCATTTGCTTGGTCAAATGAGCAGCTCTTCATTTTTGAGTGCGCGATTAATAGCGTCTTTACGGTAATCGCCGAGAAGCGGCACTGACGGTAGTAAAAGAGTAAAAGAACGCATGTTTTTTCTGCTTTTATTTGCGATACAAATAATTGTTACCATAAGTTCTTTAAAAAACTGACACTGTTTGACTCAGTCCTAGTTTGACTGCTACCAACAATAAAATGAAGTACTTTTTACTGTGGGGTTTTTCTGGGTAATACTCTCTCAAAGTCCCCTCCTGAGAACAAAATCATGCCACTTCTGCTATATTTGATGAGAGATAAAATACAATTGGTACTGTTGGACTCGGTACTTGTTAGACTACTACCACAAATAGAATTAAGTACTTTTACTGTGTACTTTTTAAGTAATATTCGTTTAAACTCCTGAGTACACAAATTAATGTTTTCTGCAATCTTTGATGAGAGATAAAATGATTTCTTGCAATAAGTTCTTAATAAAATTGGTACTGTTGGAATCAGTACTACTTGGACTACTACCACAAGTACAATCAAGTACTTTTACTGTGTACTTTTTTAGTAATACTCTGTCCAACTTCCCTCCCGAGTACAATAATTCATGTATTTGCTATATTTGATGAGGGATAAAATGATTTCTAGCCATAAGGTACTGTTGTACCGTGTACTTTGAGTAATCCTTTGTCAAACTCCCCTCCTGAGTAGTCCAAGTAGTACTTAGTCCAACAGTATCAATTTCACTAATAGTCCAGCAGATATGTGAAATATCTGAAAGAATTGTGCTTTTGATGATAAAAACATGAAATTTGGCACACTGTTAGAACATGCCCTAAGGAAGATTTTTGGCTATAGGGCCTTTGCAAATTTGTCCAATGGCGGCCATTTTGAAAATGGCCGCCATTGGACAAATTTGCAATGGGGGCCGTTTCTCAATCTCGAGTAAAGCTGCTCCAGAGCAACTATTTCAAGCATACTACGTCATCGAGTGCCGACGAAGTACTGTTCCAATGTCCAGCATACTTTCGAGGCTGCACATGTGTAGACTCCGCGGTCTTAAAATCCCCACAATGCTTTGCGCACGGACCAATTTCCCCAAATCTGTGGCGGAAAATGTAAGGCGGGGCCTCTCATATGATGCACACTTGCTCGCCTGTTCCACTCTTCGTTTTCCGAATGCCAGGAAGTATTCTTGCCTCGCTTCTGAAGCAAGATGCTCGGCAGACATGTGCTACCAAGCAAGCGTACTCGAGATTGAGAAACACCCATGGTCTAGCTGCAGCCGCAGCAAGTACACGACACGCCCCCTACACGACACGCCCACCTGACATGACACTACGGTGGCTGAGAGACATTGATACCGTACATGGCAGATTAAAAACGAATTGCAAATGTTATTGTAGCATTTTAAGCAACTATTAGGCAAATTAATTAATAATCTAGTCTATCCGTTTGAGACGCAACAGTATATGACTTTAAGCACAAATCATTTTGTCTAATTAATAAATTAAAACAAGGGGGCTTAGTAAACTTTATTTTTTAGTACACATAAAATAGGTAATGAGATCTATTAATTATGTATGTCTAACTGCTACACATGCATTTCTACATAAATGTAGATATTTATGAACATCTAAATATAGTTGTTAAAGGTTTTAAGATATAAATAATCACATCATGGGGTCATTAAGGTTTCAAACAGGTTCATGTAAGGTAGGCCTACTATAACATGAGCCTGTAGTTTGGTATGTTATTGATATGGGCTGGACACCCCTTCACAATGATCATCATTGACTTTTTTTTAGACCAAATTAGGAGGGCCAGTCAGGCCACTAATGAGCTCAATAATTCACATGTATTATTACTTTATAAATTAAGAGTACTAGGGGTCTATTTCAAAACCTTTGAAGGAATCGTCATGCATTCTGAATGTTTCTGTACTTTAAAAACATCATGGCTCAAGATCCTGTTTAAGATTATTCATACTAATTTGTGAATTTAACATCCATATTCACTCCTCAAAACTGAAACACCAACTTTTTTTTTTTAAAGCATTGCAGGCCTAAAGCTCCACGTCAGTGACCTATATTTAATTTCTTCCATCAAACTTTAAAAATGGCAAACAGCATGTTTTTAAAGATTTAATCTTTTAAGAAACAATATTAACTTTGAACAGAAGGGTTTAAAAACACGTTTTGAATGCAAATAAACTTGAAACATAAACCTATTTGTCATTTCAAAATTCACTTGTATTGTCTGCGTGAAAGGCACAGTAGGCTATGAGCGAATACATATCAACATTCAAAAATTATAAAGTCGTACAATATATAGGCTACCATGTGCTACTGTCTAGGATCAAGTATGGTGAGACTTTTCAGCCCGCGACCCCCAAAATAACAGTGCCAGAGACTGGCGACCCGACGGGATAGTGATCTCCAGTGTGCTGGGCAGTGTGGCGGCGGAGGGAGCCGAGGGCAACACCGGAGGAGAGGCAAGCGATGACCACAGCATCACCGTGGTGCAGATAGGGCAGAACGGGGAGTACCTGGGCACGGCCCGCCCCCCCCCCGCACAGACTGATGCCCCTTTCACACCGGCGCTTTTCCAGCTCCTGCTGGGAGCTAGAGCCTGAAAAGCGCCGGTTTTTCCTGTTCACACCGCAGCGGCGGCGCGTCATAGCTCCGGAATGCGGTTCACTTCCAGCTCCAAAAAGTTGTCGGTCCAGAGGCAAGAGCTTTGGAGCTATGACGCGGCGTCGCTTACGTCGCTTACGTCGAGGCGTGCAGGAAACCTTACTTTGACCATCCGTTCGCTGTTATTGATCATTGTGGAGAGCAGGCAGACGTTTTGTTTGTTATTATAGCAGCTATCGGATGGAATCAATACATGGGCTGTACAGGTTGTCATGTCCGACTATCACAAGTAGAATCATAATGAAAAATACGCCGGTAAAATGTGCCTGTAGAAAACGGCTTAGCAAGTAGTCAGTTTAGCTTCGGTTGCTATGCTAACATCACCCATGTTATACCAGAGAAACTTTCATAACAGCGTTGTGATGCCATACAGCGTCAATTCAGACTGACACCAAACAGCGTCAATTCAGACTGACACACATTCACTTAAGGGGAACTGGGGATATGTATCAGCTGCTTGTGTGACAGTCAGACAGTGAATACTTTAGAGCCGTGTGAGCTAACGGGAGAATAAACTCCCGTTGAAGAGCAGCCAGCACTGCAGCGGTCGGTAAATGCAGCTGAAACACATTAATAAACAATGAACCACGGCACTCTGGAGAAAAGTATAAGGTTGGAGAAGTCGTTATTTAATTTAATCTGGCTTCGTATGATTAAAAGCAACACGATCGTCGACCCGACGCAGTCCCCGGCCCGTTGTTGTTGTGGGAGAAAATCTCTCGGCAGCTCTGGGCGGTGTGAACAGAGCGGGAGCTGAAAAGGGAAACCGGAGCTGAACCAGAAAAGCTCTCGCTAGGAGCTAGAAAGGGAAAAGCGCTGGTGTGAAAGCCGCATATGGGGACTTGTTACACGGAGCCCATCACCGGGGAAGCTGCCGGACCGAGAGTTTGATCCTGCCTGCGGCGGCAGAAGGCGGTCTGCTCGGCCTGCCCTTGGCTCTGGGGTCCCTCCTTAAACAAATAAATAAAAACCTTTTAAATGAAACGTTCATCTTAACAGATAAGATTTGATCATTTATTTTAAACGTCAGGCCTACAGCATGGCCACAAACCCCATCTACAAACAGGCTCTGTCCTAATTACCTGATTGCATCCACCTGGGTTACTTGGCTCAACCAAATAACTTTATATAAGTTTACTTTAAACCACACTTAAAATAATAATATAATTATACATATGTAGGCCTACATGTCTACAGTATAGCAACTAATAAATGTTTTAAATAAATAAACATTCAAATGTGAAAGACTCCTTCAATGAATATTTAAAACTTACACAAAATCAGATTCTTGTAAAAATTAGAGTACATGCATTGTTCCATCTGTCAAGCTAAGATATACATATATCTTAGCTAAGATATATGTATCTTAGCTAAGATATACATATATCTTAGCTAAGATGTATATCTTAGCTCTTAGCTTGACATGCTCATCCAGTTAGCATGTATGCTAATAGGACATGCTCGCTCAGTTAGCATACACATATATTATTTATGTATTCCATTCCTTTAACTTGAATATTTAAAATACAAATTAGCAAAATAAACACAATTATACTGCGCTGAACAGCCAAATCGACAAACAACCGAGAACCTAAATAGAATGTAATTATATCTAAATCCACAAGACGTTAATTACCTGTACTCGGTGCGCCATATTGTCTGTTCTCTGTAAACCTCCATGTCTGATTAAATATCCTTGCGTCAGCGTCTCACGTGTTGGGCGCGCTCTCTGACCATATTTGGAAGTACAACTTCCTACAGGTTCAACCTCCACTGGCCGCAGCTGGACCCTTCTCCAAATTTGCGATGGCCCTATAGCCAAAAATCTTCCTTAGGGCATGTTCTAACAGTGTGCCAAATTTCATGTTTTTATCATCGAAAGCACAATTCTTTCACATATCTGCTGGACTATAAGAATTTATTGCAAAAAATCATTTTATCTCTCATCAAAGATGGCAGAAAACATGCATTATTGTACTCAGGGAGGGAGTTTGACAGGGGATTACTCAACAAGTACGCAGTAAAAACACTTAATTGTATTTGTGGTAGTAGTCTGAGTCCAACAGTACCAATTTTATTAAGAATTTATGGTAAAACATATTTTTATCGAAAAATATAGCACAAAAACATGCATTATTTTATTCTTGTACCGCGATTACCGTAAATACGCTATTAATCGCGCACTCAAACATGAAGAGCTGCTCATTTGACCAAGCAAATGCGAGAGACGGCTGAGTTGACCGCAGTGGGTATGGGCATAGCCAGTGACACTAAAAGACTAATTATATCCAGACTATAAGTACATGTGATGAATAAAGATGTGCAAGCTAGAACAAAAAAATACATCTGAACTAAATATAACACTGAACACAGCTATCATAGGAAATAAAGGGGATGACTGGTCTGACAAATATTACACTATATGAAAAGCAGTACATCCAAGACCACAACACTGAGGCAGTCATGTCAAAGCATTCACTTACATTATACCTACCTTGGGTCAATGTGCAGATATTATCCAATCTCTCCACATTTCAGTTAGACATGACGAATGGAACAACTTGTAATACAACAACATTGCATTCAACTTATTTTGTTTTAAAACCAACATTTGTTTTTGTTTTTATTCTCATACTACAATGAAAATAAACTGCACCCTTGGGTTTCTTGAGACATACGGACAAGCCAAAAAGATGCAACTTATAGGCTATGTTGATACAAATAATGAAAGGATCACTATTACTTTGTAGTATATTTGTAATTTCATATGTTAAGATCTGAATCTATCTATCAACCTGTTACGGCCCCCGTTATTTAAATAAAATAATCTATGATGAAAACATAGCATAAGCATTAAATAAAATCATCTTATATATATAAACACACATACACATTGCTAATTAATTGTGTATTTTTTATTGTGCAACACTGTCACAAGGCATCTTGACTATAACTATATGTTTTACCACTCTTCATTAGATTCTTCACGAGGGCTGTGGTCAATGGTCAATCCTTTCCCTTTTGTGTGGGAAATAACCCAATGGAAGCCAAGCAGAATGCAGCTAAAAGTGCCCTGAGAGGTTTGAGAGAGAAGGAGAATCCCAAACCAGTGGTAGGATGCTTGTTTGTAAAATGTTTTTTTTAAATGGTCTGCGTATAAGATAATTCTCGCATGAACATACATTTGATTAATTACTTTCTAACCTTACATTTTTTTTTGATGAAGAGCTTGACACTATACATGAGATAGTAGTTTATTATTGATGTATGTTAATGGCAGTATTTTCTTGTGTACGTTATTTGTTTTTGTTCTTCTTTCCATCATCTTGCATTTATTGTCCGGATGTGCCTACTTTGTTAATATTGTTTGTGAAATGTAGCTCTTCGGATTTATTCTTTTTTTTTTTTTGACTTTCAGACAGAAAAAGCTGCAAAAGTTCCTCAGAAAACGGCCACTAAAGTTTTAGGCGTGCTAAATGAAAATGTTCCGAAGGACAGGGTGAATATAAAAGCTGGGCAATCAACCAGACGGGAACCACATGATGCTCCCCAGTAAGTCTCCACATGGCACCCAAACATAATTTGTGGCTGTTAATTCAAAATCTTAAAATGCATCAAATCCTGTTTGTGTAACAATAGATGCTCTAGCTTTGTGGTTGGTGATAAGGGGCATCCAGCTGTTCCAGGAAAACCAATGAAGGAAGCTAAGGAGGAAGCAGCCAAGTTGGAAAGATATGCAACCTTTTTCAGTAGAACTACAGAGGTAAGTTATACACATGCACACTAGGTCTCCTCAATCAATTAAAGCACTTTAAAATGCATAAGTCTAGGTCATTAATCATTTAAATTGGATTATGATATTCAAAGGATCTAGGTGGCTCTTACAAAATAAAACTGTACTGAATTCTACTTATAAAATGTCAACATTTGATTTTTAGATGTAGTTATTAGGCTAAAAAAGTGCTCCTCGGCTGACCTTGGGCCTCACTTATGAAACTGTGTAGGGTCGCATTCACACCTAATAGTCCGCTTCTTTACCAGACGCGAGATGGTTACATTGTTTTATTTTTTTAAAGGTTCGGTATGCGTTCACACAGGCAAACCTCAAACGTACTTTAAACTATCAACAAAGTCATGTGCACGGAAATGCTGTTCAACAATTGGTCAGACATTAAGGGGGTAAAAATGCAAATCCCTGCAATTTCTACCGTAGCCTCCACCATGGAGCATTTGCAGTTTATTTTCATGCTGCTGTTGGAGAGCATATCAACAGACTTTAGCGGACGGCGCTCACACCGACCCAAACGAACCGCACCAAGGGGTTAATTTTGTATTCGATTCAACTGTACTAAACAAGACTGGTGTGAACGCGACCTAGGATTCAAGTCGAAAGCTTGCGAATGAACGAAACTCAAGTGGTTTCGCTCAAAAAATTATCTACGCATGCAATTATTCAACCCAGTCTCACGGCATTTCGTGTTATAGTTAGAGATGTCCCGATCCGATCACGTGATCGGGGATCGGAGCCGATCACGTGATTTTCAAAAGATCGGAATCGGGAGAAAAAAATCGGGGATCGGGATTTTTTTTTTTTTTTTTTTATAAAATATTTTTATTTTATTTAATGTTACAAAACAAAAATGACCATGTTCACGTCTTAAAGTCATCCTGAGGCCTTAGTTTTGGTTTAAAATTACACAACATCATGTATGTGTTGCTTCTTTTGGGCTTGTTTTCATAGACCTGGTTGCTTATTTCTCTCAAATCTGGCAACAGAGTGGGCAGGGCGCAGTGTCTAATAGTAGCAGTAAGCTAACAAGAGGCTACGTTCAGCTGGTGACTCGGGAGTCGGGACAGAGAAAATGTCAGGAGTTTGGAAGTATTATAAAATTGAAAGCGAAGGCAGTGTAACAGCCAGATGCAATGTTTGCAAGGCGGAGGTTCCGCGTGGTGGAAAGAACAGAGCTACGTTCAACACGACCAATCTAATACGCCACCTGAGAAACAAACACCAACAACAACACGACGAGTACACAGCGGCCACTCAGGTAACGGCACTGAAACAACCGACACTTTCAGAGACTTTTAAAAGGAAAGAGAAACTGCCCCAGAACAGTGAAAAGGCCAAAAAAATAACCGCCAAGATAGCTGAATTCATCGCGTTGGATGACCAACCTTTTTTTTCTCTTAATGCATTGCATAAAGATCGGATCGGGAAAAATCGGTATCGGCAGATTGTCAAAATCAAATGATCGGAATCGGATCGGGAGCAAAAAAAGGTGATCGGGACATCCCTAGTTATAGTCATGACATTTAATCTATTGATTCGTGTTCACCAACACGATTTTCCCCTTTTTTTTCGTGTCACACAGAACGATATTAAAAGCAATGTATTTCTATTGGTAGTGTGTTTCGTGCCTGCACCACGTCTTTTTGTCTGGTCGGGTCTTGGCAGACCGGAAGCTGTGGGGTTCATAAAAACATGTTCTTTATACAGTCTATGGTTCTTACTCAATATCAAGCCACGATTATTGTTTTTAATTTTAAATCTTATAATGTCTGACTTTTTTTGCCATCAGTGAGGAAAAGAAATGGGGCTCAGAGCCTCAGAATACGGAAATCTGTATTTTTTTTTTAAATCTTTTTTTCCTTCTAATTTGTTATTCTTTTCTAAATAACACACTGTTATTTACTCAACAATAACACACAATTATCCTTGTTTTTATTTATTTGTTTAATTCTATAATCTCTGGCTTTTTTGGCGTCCGTCAGGAACTGAATTTCAAAATAAAATAACCGGAAACGGATACACAGCCACTGAACTGATTACCCAAGATCCTCAGCTATGGTTTAAGCTCGCTGATTGGATTGTTTAGCCGCAATGCACGTTGGGATATGGTGTTTATGCAATATGAAATCAAAAAAGCATTTTAAAAAAAGAAAATAATACTTAAAACCGAGTGTGCTTGCTTTTCTCTTTGAAAGTCATCACATAACGGCATTGTAATACACGGTTCGTCTGCATTAAATATTACACATCTGCCGTAGTTCTTTATTTATAGAGCCCTGATGAGAAGACTTCTAGACAAACTGGAAAAACTGCCACAGAAACTGAATACGTGACGTGGATCATAAATATATCAGCAATTAAATAACATCTTCAATTTCTCTTCCCACAATACGTCTCCTTGCAGTATCAATACTAAATCGGCTGACTTTTATATTTGATCCAATTCGTAGATAGGTTATATTTACACCATAACGGTGCACAGCTGATATAAAAGGACTTGTAGTTTTTAAAGATATTACTGATTTTCTTTGAATATAAGAATGTAAATACTGAGTTGAAAGAATAGTCAGGGGTTTTGGGTGATGGGAGACACATCTATGGATTCAGAATTTCAATAGCTTACCATTAAATGATGGATATTTATTTTATATTAATGTGTAGAAGTAAAACATGTGAAATAATATAGCAATATGCTGTAAAATTACACATCTTGAGATGTTATACATACATAAGTGTCCTACACTAATAATACAAAGTTATTATGGCTGTGTGTACCTTGTGTGCACCGCCTAGTGGTTAAAGCACGTTATTGAATTATTGTTTTAATGTGTTATATTTGATGAAAAAAATATTAAGAGTACATACTTTCATAGGGGGAAAGTAGGAGGTCAATGATAGAAATATAGAATATAAAAAATCAAGAAGATACTGTAAGTGATCTCTACAATAAAACAGTTTAGTGCAGGATGTACAAAGATATTAACAGGAGGATGTGCAAAACAGAAAAACTAATTAACCTTTATTTAAACATTAAATAATACTTTAGATTAAGGTCTTTTAAATTAGAAAAAAGCTTTGGGGGTATCTACAGATAAATATTAAGCCTGACAAAGTACTTATTTTAACTGATATTATACATATGAGTTATACTCTTATGTATGTAGATAGTATAAGAAATGTGCAGAATATGACAGTTTAATGGTGGAGGTATACACACATATTGATAGATGTCTTGAGGAACCTGCGACCCAAGTTTTTCATTCATTGCATAACTACACCGTAGTTGTGTATATGATATGTCAATAAACCTTTGAAAATCTTGAAATCTTGAAAGGGATATGCAAAATAGCCATTATATACAGTCTTTAATTAACTATTAGTAGAGAATAACGAGTAATGAATATACTTTATAGGGATCTGCAGATAAATGTTTAGTCTTCTGGGGGGGGGCTGGTCCCGTTCGAATCCAGTTTTGGTTAGTCTGCCGTGGTTTCGTTCCATTTCAAAGAGCTGTTTGACGCTCGGCGTAACCTTGGCGCACTGCCACTCCAACATCCAATCCCAGAGCTTGAAGATTAATCACGGTAGCTGGGGATTATGGGTAGTGTAGTGTCTTGGGCCATCGTAAACTCCGAAATGTTTTTCGGATTTCATATTGCGTTAACACCATATCCCAACGTGCATTGCGGCTAAAACATCCAATCACCGAGCTTAAACCATAGCTGAGGATCTTGGGTAATCAGTTCAGTGGGTGTGTATCGCAATGATGCTCGAAATGTTCCATATAGGCCTACGTCTGTTTCCGGTTATTTTTATTTTGAAATTCAGTTCCTGACGGACGCCAAAAAAGCCAGAGATTATGGAATTAAACAAATAAATAAAAACAAGGATAATTGTGTGTTATTGTTGAGTAAATAACAGTGTGTTATTTAGAAAAGAATAACAAATTTAGAAGGAAAAATAGATTTAAAAAATACAGATTTCAGTATTCTGAGGCTCTGAGCCACATTTATTTTCCTCACAGACGACAAAAAAAGTCCGACATTATACGATTTAAAATAAAAACAATAATCGTGGCTTGGTATTGAGTAAGAACATGTTTTTATGAACCCCACAGCTTCCGGTCTGCCAAGACCTGACCGGACAAAAAGACGTGTTGCAGGCACGAAACACACTACCTATAGAAATACATTGCTTTTAAAATCGTTCTGTGTGGGGAAAATCGTGTTGGTGAGCACGAATCAATAGATTAAATGTTGTGACTATAACACGAAATGCCTTGAGACTGGGTTGAATTCTAACATTGGCTTCCCCTTTTAAAATATCACAATCGACTCAAAATGTGATACCCATTTGGGCTCCAAACACAACTCCCACGACTGCGCATAAATATCTATTACTGCATGAAGGCGATCATGGCCTAAAAAGCTAATTTCACATTCTGTGTAATGTGGAAATTCCACAACATAATCACCTTCTGCTGAGAAATTACCAAATATAGAAGCAAAAATGAAGTTGTGTTATTTGATCAAGTCTAAAAGCATTTAACGGATCAATTTCTGCTGAAAGGACAGATCCCCGCCCCACCGTGTGCTACTGGGATCTGATCATGAGTACAAAGAAACACAGGGCATTTATAAAGGAATCAGGAAACTAAATACACATTACATTTTTTCATTTCAAACCTTTATTTATCCAGGAGTATCCCATTGAGATCATTGATCTCTTTTTCAAGGGAGACCTGCTCAAGTAGGTTCCACATGAAACATTAAAACATAAACAGAACAACAAAAAGGACATCATACAGCATCATTACAGGGATTACAATTTACATAACTATCCACATGAACAAGTACCAACAGCTTCCGATTGAGTAGCATCCAACCGAGCTTTAAAAACATTTAGTGGCACCAGATTTCTCAGTTTCCATTTAAATTGCTGACTATTCCAAGACAGTGGAGCTGCGCATCTAAATGCTATCTTCCCTAAGACAGTCCTAGCAGTTGGCACATTTCATAAAACCACAGCATGCGATCTCAGGCAGTAGCCACTTACAATTTTACGAAACCGGACAATGGTCACAGTAGCTCCCTACTGCCTGTCAAATGCTAACGTACACAGGAACAACAGACGTGTTACACAAGGGAAGAAACCTCAGGGTCACAGCAAAAAAGAGGCCAGCATGACAACTTTGAGACAAATTATAACTTAAAGAGACTATGCCTTTCTATTTTCTTTTTAGACCTCCTCCGGGAATGATGACGTTGCTGCAGCCAGACCACCAACTACACTGCAAGTCACTGACTAATGATAACATTGAATTTAATTAATCAAAACACGATACGTTACTAATGTCTCTGTCTGTATTCTCCAAGGGCCTCCTGTGATGCAAAATCAAAAGGCGTGCCAATGACTGACTTCACCAATTCATCAAGACCTACCGAGGATGAGGTCAGTCATTCTTTCATCCTTAATCTCTAGGGTTCTGGAAGGGAAAATCAATAATATAGTTCTCAGATTATCTTCAGAGAACCTGAGTTGAGTCAAGGCTCCAAAAGGGTTCATATCTGTACAAAGACATGGAATACTGGTAAACTGTAAGAACACCCTTTTTTCTGTAACTAGAAAGAGCTGCCAACTTAACTTGATGTTTTAGACACTCCTTTTTATTCAAGGATGTATTATCATGTGGTCCTGGCCCGTTATCGGTGGAAATAATCCCCAAAAAATGAAACACAAAATGTACGTCTTGGGTAATTCTTATCAGTAAGTTAACTTTCTATTTACCCTAGCAAGATGTTAAACAATTTGATACGTCTATGTAAATGCTGCTTTAATTTGACTGGCATCAACATCTATATTTCCTTTTTTTTTTTTTTTAAAGGAACAAGATCCTGTTGTGAGGCCCAAAACACGGTAAATCACCTTGAAGGCTGCAGTACATATGGTTTCACAAAATTATAATATTGGTGCTTTTCATTTGATTTATATCTTGTTAGAATCGCAAAAGGTTTCCAAGATGACTAGCAAAGCAGCACTGGGGTATAGTGAGCCTGTTGGAGATTTAAACCATTTTAAAGATTAATGAACCGTTTTTTTCTATGATCTAAGTTCTAAATCAGAGAATCAGGAAGTGAAAACAGGAAACTGTCCCAATGATAAGACATCAACCAAATCAGAAATGTCAAGGTATGGAAAATTCAAACATTAAGGTATAGTTTTGTTTGGCTGTTTTATACAATTAAAGGTGGGGTATGTAATTTATTTCAGAAACACTTTGTTATATTCCCGATATCTTAACTCTTAACATCCCGATCGCAATGAATATCTTAAGTGCTTTGACAATAAATACATAAAAAATTTCATCTGTGGAAGCTTCAGCGCTGTAAAAAGCACGACCAATCATTTTAGCCGGCCCGGCTAAAATAACTGGATGGCCTACCTGCCTGTCAGCCTTCCATCTGTGCACGTTCGTGTGTGTTGGAGGAGGGGCTCTGTAAGGAAGTCTGAAGGAAGAGGCAGATTTTCTCCGGTTGTGTACTTTGAAATTCTAGCGCACTCGAGCTGGTTTCTCCAAAATGACATACCCCACCTTTAATATACAATAATAAATACTTTTTTTTTCTTTCACTAGGTTTACATCAGACTTTGACTGCATAGAGAATATGGGCGAAGGAACCTATGGTCAAGTTTTTAAGGCAATAGAAAAACTGACTGGGAAGAATCATGCAATAAAGATTGTACAATGTGGAGAGTAAGTCAAACATTATAATTACGTTGCATGTTTTTTATTAGACTTTTCCCAGTGCAATATAACATTTAAAGATGATGTGCAAAAAAAGTAAAGTTAAAGTAAAGCTATTTTCTTCTCCTTAGTATTGAAAAAGCTCTGCCAGAGGTGAAGACATTGATAAAACTCCTTCACGAGAACATTGTGCGATACTTCACCTGTTGGTTGGAGGATTCAGGATACAGTCCAGATGAGAGTGGCAGCTCTACACAGTAAGCGACAATCCGATATCCAATAAAGATACGTATTTGAGGTATGCACTTCTTCATTTGTCTTTTCTTTCTCCTCCAGGCGTTCTATCAATCCATCGATAAGGTACCTATATATTCAGCTGGAGTTGTGTGATTACACACTCAGAGTGTGGATAGACGAGAAGAATGAAGAGAAATCTCTGCGAGACTCCAAGAGAAGAGAAGAGGCTCTAACTAAGTTTCAGCAAATAGTCAGAGGAGTCGAGTACATTCACTCTAAGATGCTCATCCACAGGGACCTGAAGGTAAGAGAAAGTGGAGGGAAATGATCATGAAAACTGCTTGTTCTCAATTAAGACACTTACTTTAGTAAACTGCTATGTCGTATAATGTGAAAACTGCAAACGGCTGCTGTGCCCTCAGAGAAAGTGTAAATTCTCGCCGTCTAGCAATGTTGTCGTTTTTGCAGTCAGTCTGCTGTATTAACCCAATAATATTACTGGTGGCTGCTTTGAGAAGTGTAGAGGTGCATATATAAGATAGTGTAATAAGCCCACATGTATAACTTTTATTTTTATTATGCTGTGTTGTTGAGGTTGCCCCATCCTGGTTCTCGTAGTGCACTGCATTTTTCCATACTTCTCAGTTTTAACCCATTCATGTATTAAAAAAAGCAAGTGTAAATCCAAAAGTACGCATATTGAGACACAACATACACGTTTGTTTATTTATTTCCCGTGTTTAGCCTGCCAACATCATGATTGGGCAAGATGGACAAGTGAAAATCGTAGACTTTGGTATGGTCACATATGACAACGATGCTGAGAACCTGAGGGAGAGATTGTACAAAGGAACCCGTTCATACATGGCTCCTGAGCAGGTGAGATGTTCTGTACTGACACATGTCAAAGGGAGAGCTGGGAAGGTTTTACCAAATTTAAAATGTGGGTTATAGCCAGTTTTGTAGGACCATTGAAGAAAAATATGCTGAGAATTTCTTGCAGTGCTGGCATATTAAATGGCAAGTGGTGATGTCTGTAGTCTGACTAGGTTGATACAACTTTGCAAATTTGATGATGTGGTTGCTTGACAATTAAAACCCCCCTATCACTAATTTAAGATTTCTCGCAGATTTTAAATGTTTTAATCTCAGCCACTTTAATATCTTAAAAATATCAGACTGGTTTCAATAACCATTGGATTAGATTCATGCATTGACTTTAATACATATATACTTCATACATGTGGATATTAAACATAAACTTAAGATATATATACTGTACAGCTGCATCTTGCCTTCTTGTCAATATTGTGTTTGTATTGTATCAAAACAGAAAAGGCAAAAGACTTATGACCGAAAAGTTGATATCTTTCCTTTGGGGTTGATATACTTTGAACTCCTCTGGAAAATGCCCACGGGTCATGAAAGGGCCGTGGTGAGTTTTCTCGCTACGATTCAAAATTCTGCTAACTGTGTAAACTATTTCAGTTCATCAGAACATGATGGAGCAGATTTTTCAGTTCTTTCATTACAGTAACACATCCTTTCACTGCACAGGTTCTGACCGACCTCAGAGAGCAGACATTTCCCAAAGAGTTTCAACACAATTTCTACCAAGAGGTCTGTTATTTTTGTACATTTTGTCAATGTACATGCAAATTAGTTGTTTAGTATGTTAACATGCTCTTAACCCTCTTGTGTAACTAGGGACATGTTACGCTTTTAAACTTTTCAATCATTTTAGCTGTGTTAATGCATAGGACATTAGCAAGGCTGTGAGATTTTCTATTTTATGTTGGAAGTTCAACCGTGTCTCTTATAATAAATCTATCTTAAAGTTTACAAAAAATGTAACACTCAGACCCTTAAGGAAACAAAAAAATTACTATAATACATTAAAACCAATCTATTTAATTAGTCTTTCAATCTAGAGCCCTGACTTTAAAATTGTAGTTTTTACTATTTTCCACCAATTTCAGCCATGATTGCCATACGCTGCAAAAATATTTGTTTATTGCACAAACAATTATATTTTCAATCTGCATTTAAAATTAAACTTTGTCTGTTTTCCCGGTGATTTCAATATGTATGAAATACGGCTGAGTGCAGTAATACTGCAGTTTCATTACATTTCTTAATGCCAGTGTTGGAACGTAACCAAGTGTGATTACTCAAGTACTCTACAAAAGTACATTTGGAGGAGCTTGTTATTTATATTTTATGCTAATTTATACTTCTACTCCACTACAATTTGGATGCAAATATTGTACTTTTACTCATACTTTTAATTTATGGCTTTTGCTGCTTTAATTTATCACTACAGGTCAAGTGACCCAGCAGCACATGAAGTAATTCAAATAAACTTTATCTTTATCAAGGATAACATTTAAAATGATGAACACATTAATTAATTAATCATTATTATACAATAATTTAATAGATATTATTCTGAAATGGGTCATCCTGCATAAGGATTTTTAATTCTTGTACTTAAAGTATATTGTGATACCTAATACTCTTGTACTTTTACTTGAATTTTGAATGCAGTACCGAGTATGTTAACACTGTATTAGTGCTAATTTAAATTAAGTAAAACATCCGAGTACTTCTTCCACCTCTGCTTGATGCAACAGAGATCTAAGTACCTGTTATTTTTTTCTTTTTAGTACTTAGTAATAAAGCCAATGCTGTGTGAGAAGCCAGAACAGCGACCTGAAGCAAGTCAGCTCAACGCCGTCTTGAAAAAGATCTCCGATAGCTTCGACATTGAAGAAATGCAACGTCGCGGAAGCAGGAGTATCTGATCCTATGATCCTGTTGCCACACTGCCTCCCTAACTTCCAGAATGACACCCCCCCCCCCCCCCCCCCCCCCCCCCTTCTCCACTCTCTGTGTTTTAATATCCTATGCAAACTGTACTCCTGCCTACAGCCTGCTCTCTGTATGATTGACTGAACTATTTTCCAAGAAATACAATATGACAGACAGCTGAATGGTTTGATTATTTATTCACCTTTGATGAATAAAAATGGTATTGCAAAAAAACAAGATGCATGCATATCTAACAGAGATAAATTACCAAAAATTCATGTCTAGAGCATTGCAACTTTAGAAATAAATAAATACATTTTATATATAACTGCCATTATCTTTAAATTATGCAAAATCCACTTTGTCATGTCTTTTATACATAAACATGTGTCCCCTCTGTGTAAAGAGATTCTGAAAGTTTCAGGAAAAAAGATTTCCATTTATATAAAAACCTGTCTGAAAATGAGATCAGATTTTGGCAGCTTTATGATGTCATAACGATTTTTTGGCTTGTGTAACCATTAGCCAATCACCAACCAAGGTAAATATCTCTCAGAGGGGCGTGGGGAGTGGCACCTTATTTTCATCTAAAGTAAAAGACAGAGAATCAGCACTTTTAAAACGGCTGAAACAGAGGGGATTATGGGATGCTACAATGCATGATCTGTTTGGTGTTTTGAGCCAAACATTTCAGAGACATGTTTTGTATATATCTGAGACCTATAATATATTGATGAAAAACAGTATAATAGGTGACCTTTAAGTTGTGCTTTTCCTTAACATTTAAGTCAAATATTGCCGACTGTTTGACATGTTTGCACCTTTTTTGTCTTTGTTATGTACTTGTATTGTTCTTCACACCTTGTTGGCCCATGTCTATTGCCTTTGGGTGCTTGTATATTCAGGATGTTTTTTTAAATGTAGAGGGGGTTTTTCTAAGCTTACTATAAAATTATAAACCTTATTGTGTTTCCGTTTTTTCCTTTTTAATTACAGTTTCATACATTTAAAAAGTGCTTCATACCTTAATATCACTAATGGCAGTCTGCAAAATATAAAATGTCTACTGGTAAAACAACTTGAACTTAAATCAAGTGTCACAAAGCCAATGTGGTTTATAGGAAGATAATAAAAACAATTGCTAGTATACTGAAAAGTAAGATTGTAATACTTTTCATAGTATAGCTACAGCCATGAATCAGTTTGTTTGGTAACTTTATTTTTGAGTATAGTTCACAAGGAGATGCATATATTGTGCAGCCACTTAAAACAGATGCCGAAGTGTCACATTGCTGAGTTTCACAATGATCAAGGAGTCCGTATAATTTAGAGATCAATAAACCACATGGCTGTCTTGGCTTCTTATCTTTTTCCCCATCTCTATCACTCAATTATTTCCAAATACTTATTTGTTTTAATAAATGGCCCATTATGCAATATGCAACTACAACATAACTACTACATGGTCATGTGTTTAGGTATAAGTGGGAAACAAATCCATATCTATTCCCAAACACATGGTTAACATTTTTTAAACTCATGTGCATAATGGCTCAGTAATGCAATGAAGAAAAAACAACCTTTGCACACTGTCCTGATTGTAGTTGTGTTTGGCAGTGCAAGCTGTAGGGGGAGCTGTGGCTCTGCTGCGTGGGCCACACTCCTCGGCCTGTGGGTGAGAAGGGTTTATTCACAGTGAGGGGGCCACAACCGAAGGAGCTGTGTGACATTTATAATCATGCCTCTGGCGCATGCTTGATGATTAGCATCTCTGTGGAAAACAACAGTAACAAGTGCCAAATGCAGGATCCCACACAATCACCTGGCCGTGGTGCACACAATAGGCCACGGGAATCAGCACAAATCAGCTCCTGCGGCTCAGTGTGTTCACTCAACCTGCACCGCACTGCAAAGCTAAAATGAGCTCAGAGCCTGTGAAGAGATGCCCTAGGTGGATCATCTGCTTTCATGAAAATTGGATAACCTAGTTAATTTCTGTTTATCGACTCACTCTAAATATCTGCTGGTGTATGGGAGGAAAACATTTTTGAAATAGATTTTTTTTGTATCTGTTACCTTATCCTCCTTGTGAGAGGCCTGTAGAAAAACATAGAACATTTTTGCTGATATTCCTCTCAAATCTGGAAGTTTGTTGACCACTAGGGGCCAGCACAACCAACAGAAAACACAACATTGATATTACTGATAGTCTTTTGATCGTTTTTTCTTTATTACATAAAATATGTATTTAAAGTTTGTCCCTTTACCCTTCTGCTCGACCATTATGGTCGAGCACACTTTAAGTCACTATATCTTACGGAAATATCCGTTTTACTTAATTTTTTTATTTAAAAAAAAAAAAATTCTCTGTCAGCAAGCTCTACCACTCGGTTGACATATGTAATGCTAAGAAAATCCACTAGATGTCACTGTGTTTCAATAGCACAGATAGCAAGTTAGCCTGTTCACAGGAAGTTAGCAACAACAAAATCACCTGACACGAGGCGGGATTTTCAAAGGTAAGCGCATTTTAAAAAAGATTAAAAAGGGCCTAAAATGTCTTGAAGACATGCTCTACCGAACGGTTGATTTGATGCTTTATGGTTAAGATAGTGAAGCTAAGCTTAAGTAATTAAAACTGACTATTTGCAAAAAAAATTATCAAACCTCTGACCATTTATTGTTGTTAATTTGACATATTTATTCAAGTATATAATTGAATTACATTAAATCAACAGTAAATGTGTTTTAATGTCATAACAATTGTAAATGTATCATCTTAGCATCGATACCTTTACCACTACAATTCTTTGGTAAAGGTATCGATGCTAAGATGATACATTTACAATTGTTATGACATTAAAACACATTTACTGTTGATTTAATGTAATTCAATTATATACTTGATGAAATATATCAGTATGATATTTCACCCTTTTCTCTTTCTTTTGTATAAATACAAACCATTTTATGGTGCTAGGTCATGCAGCTCTCTGGTGTTGTACCAGAAAATTCTCAAAAATTTGATTTGGATTTAAGTGATGATTATGATTATATAGAGGAAGCAAGTCTGATTTATTCTGGCAATAGTCTGCACTTTGTTTTTAATTTGCTTGCATTTTCCACATTTGTAAATGTATTTTGATACATTGGCTATTATAAGTTTTCAATTTTGAATGTATGTTTTAATTTTCAGGTTGCATCTTTTGACAAAAGCTGTGGGGTCCTTTGTTAAATATTATGTTGTTATTGCCCAAAGGAAATACAAAATTGAAAGAAAAACATTTTTTCATAGCTTTTTTCTTGGTGAGGACTTTAAAGTGTTATGCCAGGATGTAGAACCATTTAAAAATTCAAGCCAAACCTAATTTAAGTTTTCCCAGTTTGGTTTCTTTATGTGATTGTCAAATTTCTACCCAAATTCTAAATGTCATTTCACTTCCTCAATAAACAACAGTTGCCAGTATTTTCCTATTTTTTATTTGAAGATGATATCAACTGCATGAAAAGACTTTGAATCATTCCTCTCTTGACATTTACAACACCAAAACAATGACAACTCTCTCATTGTGGCTTTATCTAAGATAAGAAACCTGGCATGTTTCCAATCTTCCACAGCTGTCGCGCTTGTGTGAGCAGGGTTATTGGATGTATTGAGGTCACTTCCTCTGAGGGCAGTGTGTGCACTGAAGCAGTGCTCTAGTCAGTGGCCTGGACCATGTAGCCCGGGGTAAAATGGACTCACCAGTCAGGAGCACAGCAGCCGCGTGTCTTCCCAAAAAGTCCCAGGGGTTTGAGCAACCGATTACTCTGTGTGTAGTAGCAAACTGAGAGGTTTCTGCTCTGTGTGTTTAAGGAACCTGCAAAGACAAAACTATCCCCCAACAGCAGACATCAAATTCAAAATGACAGTGGAGGATACCGTGAGTTGTCAGATTGTGTTGTGATCTTCCCCGGTCTCCATTTATTTCAGAAGTTACTGTTAAGTTATAGCCAACCTAACCTCTGCTGAACTCCTGTGAACTGGAGCAGCACACTGCCTCTCCTCGCCTGAGGTCCCACTTGGCTTTTACTCTGGGCTTTCCACCTCTGCAGAACCACATCCTGCTACTGTCCAACCCACTTAACTGCCACTGCTGTTTAAAGGGCCATAACAGTGATTTTTCATGTTTTGACTTATTTACCACAACTCGTGGAAACTTGACATCATTACTGACATTTCAGAGTTTCAGATCTCGTTTCATCTCATTTTTGATATGTTTTGCGGCACATAACTCTCCTGTTTTGTTCACACTTAATGCTGGTTTAATTAACCTATTATTCTCTAGAATCGCAGCTGACATTTACCCTAGATATTTTCATTATAATAATAACTTATATTTTACACTAAAATCTACATTATGGTAAGACTCTGAAATAATAATTGTTTGATTTTATTCAATATGTGCTTCTCACAGGCTATGCGAGGTTAAGCTACATCAGAATATTATTGCAGTGTTTTTCTTCCCCAAAGAGATTATTTTTAAATATAGGACAAAAAGATCTGCTGTCACTTTTTCTTTCAAGCCGTTACAATCACGTTGGAGCTGTGTCTCTGAGCTCCCAGTTAAAAGAAAAAACACCTTGTGTTCACGCTCATCCTCCTGATTCAGCTCCAGTCAGCAAAGGAGATCAGATCCTCTTCACACCTACAGTACATCCTCCCCCAAGCTCCTGTATTGTTATTACATACAACTCATTTCATGTGAGAACTCCCAACTGGTCGACATTAAATGCACTGTAAATCAGAGAGAAAATACTTTGCTTCAGCTAAATATTCCTCCATATATCACAATATTCATTTTCAATATTTGTATTTACTCTTCAAAAATATCACCCCACCATCTCCTGAGAGTTAGCTTTTAAAGAATAAATAATATTTCAACATCACAGGAATTCTTTGGTTAGCAGGTGAGGTTTATCTCTGTTGGAGAGACTGCCTCTGTGCTTCGTTTCTTCTTTGTCCCGGTTTGTCTTGTCAATCTATCTGATGTGCTTTCTACTGTAAGATATGTTTACTCT